CCAAAATATAAGACTGATGCCACCATGGGATCTTCCGATGAAACCGCAATCCTGGGCCACGGGATTCTTGGGCAGGTTAATGAAGAGAGCTTCAGTTGTCCTCTTCTATATGTAGGGATAAAAAAGAGATTTTCCATAAGCACATATTTTACTCTTAAGCTAACAACACCTATCATGTCTTTGGTAATTTAAAAACAAAGGAAGTTCAAGGAGGATGTCTCTATAACAAGATACTTTTCCTAAAGATAATATCACAGGCCTCTCACTACAAACTTACTTGTTTTTTTTACCACACGTCATTCTGGAAAAGACAAATATTCTACTTGTTAAATGGATTCAACAGAAATCCTTTGTAGTTGTTTTTGAGGAGAGTAGATGGTTTTGTTTTTATTTTTAAACTACTAGTTGTATTCAAAGATAGTGAACTTAAATCCAGAGTTCAGTCCACAGTTGGATCTCTGGCTTCTCTGGCCTGTGGGTCAGGGAAAGAATGCAAGTGTGGCCACAGAGATAGGGGTGAGAGCTGGATGCACACTGGAAGTCCCTCTTGTTTCCCAGGCCTTGAGATATGAAGAGTAACACCACAGCCTGAGCCCTGGCTCCCCTTTTCTGGTCTGATGATAAGGGGGTTACATGTGATCGAGATTGATTCCTATCCCGCCCATTCTTTCCTATAGATATGAGTTGGTGCCTCTAAGGGAAATTGACTTTATTAGCCTGTTCTCTACTAGCACCCCCACTCTCAAGCACAGTAAATAATCTATTTTCTGAGAGCCTGTTAAGTGTCAGGCACTTCTACACTTTAAATCTTCCCTGAAATCTAGTGCCCCCATGTTATTGATGAGGAAAGCAAGGCTGAGAGAAATTAATCTGCACTTCTCAGCAAAGAGCAGACATAGGATTCAAACTCGGGTTTATCTGACTCTAAAACCCAAGGAGGATAAAAAATAATCATGGTGAACATCTAAAAATGCCCCATGGGATTCACTAAAAGCCTTACTAATTTAGGTGACAACTTAGAAAAATGGAAGAAACAATGGTTAGTTCCTCATAAAGTAGAAGAAGCTGTCTCTCTATTATCCAGAAGTCAGAATCTGGGCTCTAATGTTTCTGCTTGTTTCTCCAGAGACAAGAAACGCCCCTTGGTTTTGGAGGCCTCTGTCCAGCCACGAAGTGTATGCCAGAGGCAGCCCAGCCTGTGAGTACAGAGCTCCCGGTGTCCCCCTGGCCTCCGCACACGGCCATTTCATGGACCAATTGACCTGGTGACTCTAGAGCTCTTTGCACTGGGCCCACAGTATTTTCATGTTGGATGTTTTTATCCTTGTGCGGGTGCACACATTGTGGTTCAGTATAAAATGTTTCCTTGGTATCCTTCCCCCACAGGAAGCTTCAGGGGTGCTCTGTGCCTGGACTCATAGTTGGGTTGGAAAGAATGCGAAGTATTCGCATCTCAGTTCCTACAGCTCAGCTGGGCTGGTGGGTCCTGCTGGAATTCCATCTGTTGGAGCAGCAGGAGCGGCCTGACCCCTCTGCTTACAAAGTGAATACCATGACTACAGTTCTGAAACATACAGTTGGTTAGATCAGGTTCCAAAACATTCGAGGGGACTTGTTCCTATTTTCCACTAATGTTCTCTGTAAAAACATATAGGGACGAGTTTCTCATTTTAGGATAAAGTGATCATTAGTTTCTAAATTCAGGAAATCTGGAACTGGCCAGGGCTGGAATTCTGAGGGAAGGAACTCCAGCAGTTTGCTGTGATCATTTGTTTAGTTTTTGTTTGTCTACAGTGTGCCAGCCAGGATTCAGAATACACTAGAATTTAGTTAGGCTTAGATGCCTCCAAAACCTGCTGGCTTTTGGTAATTCTTATCTTGCAGCTGTTCACAGTGTGGGAAGCACAGATACTGATCTTACTCCCTGGGTTTTCTTTTTTCAGGACAAATGAGGCGTCCTTGGCTTTCTGCAATTCTGATACAGCTGTATTTTCTGAAACCTACTTTTATTTACATAGTTGATAACCAATAAATAGTTGTGGTGTTGTCCCATTCAGTCACATCTGTTAAATTAGACTAGACCCCTGATTTTGCAGTAACGGGTAAACATGAAGGCTATAACATAAAGCAGCTTTGAGAAAAATTGGCTTCAAATCTATCTGTCATGTGAAGGGGGAGGAAGTGTACAAATTACCATTTATCCTCCTAGAGGAATTTGCTGGCCAGGGCTTGGTTTCTCCCACTGAGTGTGGTGGTGAGAGTGACAGCTCTGCCTGCAGCTCCTCCTGAGCACTGAGTAAGCATGAGTGGCATCTCATGCATGAGCCGGGCTCTTAATGACGGCTCTGTCTGAGCTAAGACCCCGCTGCCTGCACACCTGCCGTGACCACTTCCCCGCCTTGCATGAAGTCTGTCATTGGAGGTTTGTGCTCAGCTCAGCTCAGCTCCAAACATAAAGCTTTCCCTCTACTCCAGCCTCCAGTGTTCCTGCACCATTAGGAGAACAAATCTGCCCAGGGAGGGCTTTGCAGACAGCTGACTTGCTACATGCAGAAAGGAATCTACTCGTACTATTCCCAGCCTTAGGAGAAAGGACATGTTTCACTGTCCTAAAAAATGAATTTCACAAAACACAGCGAAAAAGAATGATTCTCATCACTCCAAGGTGCCTTGCCATTACTGCTCATCTGTGTGACAAGTGTCTGCCTTCGATCCCCAAAACTATGTCCTTAGTCTTTTCCTCTAATTCTTTTCTTTCTACTCCAGCTAGAGTGTTCCTTTTATGACTCGTGTTCCTATAACACTTGCGCATCTACAGAGTGTCCTCACATGTGAGATAGGTATTACCGAAGTCTCAGAATAAGGAAACAAGTGAGGGAGACGCCGAGACTTACCTTCAGGATAGTCCTATTGTGTGGCTGAGACTTGAAAACAGAACCTCCATCTCCCACAGGAATGCTTTCTTCCATCCGGCCTCTGGACACAAAGGAAGCCCGGCGGAGGTGTCCTGGGCATTGGGATATAAAATTTCTAAACCGCTAATATTCGCTTTCCTTCCAGGCTGAGGACATCTCTAAGGACCTCTACATAGAAGTGTATCCAGGGACCTATTCTGTCACTGTGGGTGCAAATGACTTAACCAAGAAGACTCAAGTGGTGGCTGTTGATTCAGGACAGAGTGTGGACTTGGTTTTCCCCATCTGATGTTGGCCATCACATTGCCTTTTTTTTTTAAGTACTAAGGAGAGTAAAGCCACCATATGATTCTGTTAATATTCATACATTAACCCTGCTCTTAAAGTCGGCCTTCCTGAGACCTGGAGCTTGTCTCTTTCAGTGCCTGTTTTTAACCTCAAAAGTTTTTAACCTCTCACCTTCTGCCTGAAAGTAATAATGATGCTGTCTGAATAGTTTTTACTGCTTGCTTTCCAAGTAAAGGATAATTATGATAATAAAAGGAAAGATTTATAAATAAAGAGAATTCCTTTTTATTGATATTAAGAGCAACAAAATGTCATTCATGTACAATTGTGGGTTTATAAGAAAAGGGGGCAGAGAGGCTGTGCATACACTTGCCCAAAGCAGGCTGACCACGGCCTGTGACTTCTGTGGAGCAGCATCCTCACGCTCATCTCGCCAGGCGGGAGACCTGGCCAGGCCGTGCCTTCCTGCGCCCGTCTGCAGGGAAGTCTTAAAAGGGGTGAAGATGCTGCTGCTTATGCGACTGTCATTTGTGGCCTGCACTCTACCACTGAAGGCTTTGCCAGCCACTTTGTAACTCTTCCTCAGGTATTCACTCTGCTTCCTATAAGAGAAAGAATCCTGAGGGTCATATGCTGATGTAATTTTAAGGATCAAAAGTCACTGATTTTAAAGAGTCATAGATGTGTCCTTAACTTTTAAGCTACCACACCAACAGTATTGTTGCACCTTTCAGTTTAGTTATTCATCTCATTTTGAACATGTCTTTCCTCAGGAAAAAAATGCCAGCATTTTATGTGATGTATCGAAATTCTAAGTAGAGCTATGTTAGCATTCCTAGTGAGAAACAGACTCCCATGGACATTTAAATGGAGATCCTTGCACCTCCCCAAGAAGTTTATAATGACCATTGTAGGTTCTGTAAGCCTTCGAAATTATATGCAAAATTCTGGGCGCCCTGGCCAGTGTGGTTTGGTTGAGTATCGTCCCATGCACTGGAAGGTTAATGGTTCAAAGCCTGGTCAGGGCACATACCCAGATTGCAGGTTCAGTCCCTGGTTGGGCTGCATACAGGAGGCAACCAATTGATATATCTCTCTCACATCAATGTTTATCTTTTTCCATCTCCCTTTCTCTCTAAACTCAATAAAAAACATTTTTATAATTATAGGTATGTGCATTTTTCTGGAAAGGGGAGCCATGGGCTTTATTTTCAAAGGGGATATCACCACAAGAGGTCAAAGAACCTTGGAAGGAGTCCTTAAGAAGCCCTTCCTGCCGAAACCGGTTTGGCTCGATGGATAGAGTCAGCCTGAAGACTGAAAGGTCCCAGATTCAGTTTTGGTCAAGGGCATAATACCTTGGTTGCGGGCACGTCCCCAGTGTGGGTGTGCAGGAGGCAGCTGATCGATGTTTCTAACTTTCTATCCCTCTGCCTTCCTCTTTGTAAAAAAAATCAATAAAATATATTAAAAAAAAGAAGCCCCTTCCCGAGGAATTCAGAAGTGCAAACAAGATAGTTACAAAATAGTCACGGGGCTATAAGTACAGCATAGGGAATATAGTCAATAATATTGTAATAACTGTATGGTGCCAGTGAGTACTAGATGTATTGGGGTATCACTTCAGAAATTATATAATTGACCAACTGCTGTATACCTGAAACTAATATAATATTGAAAGTCAGCTGAAACTGGAAAAAAAAAAAAAAAAAACACCACCCACACACACACACACACACACACACGAAGAAGCAGCCCCTTCCCTGCCATGTTGCTTTACCTAGATCCTCAGGGCGTTTAGTCTAAGGCATTCCGGTGCCTCTGGCGTGTCACAGTGGTCCCCTGACTCAGTTTCCCATGCTCCGCTTTGTCTGGCAGGGTCTGTAGAGGCTTTGCGTTGGTTACTTCCAAGACCAGCTCCTTGGTGTGTCCCCCTTCTGCCATTTGTCCTCTCTGCTGCTTGAGGCCCTTCTCTTCTTTCTGGAAGCTGCAGCATCTTCTGCCTAAACCCAGAATTCAGTGAGGCATGCCAAAGATGCCGCAGTCCTGTGGGATTAGTCTGGACGACCTGAGTACAGCTCTACCGAGGATCACAGAATCTCCACTCCCTACAAGCTCCCAGCACTGTTCTCTATATTTAAAGAAGAAATAGATTTTGTTGATCATCCCTGGCTATTATGTTTTTGAGGAAGGTTGTATCTGATCACCAGGTTTGGCATTGAGTAGATGTTATCAAACCAATTTTTCAAAACAGCCAGTAGGGGACGCAAAGGTGACCAATCACCACCAGCTGAAGGAGCTTACCAGTCACATTGATCACAAAGAGGAGATCCTAAGCTGATGGGGAAAAGTTCAGAGGTTGAGTGGGGCAGGGTCTGTGACTTCCTGAGGAGTAGGGCAATATCTAAAAAGGAAGGGATACTTGAACAGAAAGCCATCCCCTCCTGACTTTTAAAACTACAGATTGAATCCTGGTTTAACTATCAATACAAGCAAAGGAGCAGAGCAATGTAGCTGCTGGCAGCCAACAGTCTGGCTTTCCCAGGATGGCTAGGTTAGGATTGAAAAGGAACCTCACTGCCTATACCTGAAAGTGATATGTGTGCAGGGCAGAGGGACCCAAACGAGCGGATTGGTAAGAGGCAGATCCTGAGGCGGAGCCCAAGACTGATTGTCGGCACCAGTACTGTTGGTTGTCAGGCACAGTTAGGAGACGAAACTGCACATTTCCTTTAACGAATACAAAGTCTGGAGGGAGAAGGAAGAGCTCTGGTGGTGGGCACACACCGTTTAGTTGTGGTATGTAGTACCCTCTCTGTGCCTGGGGCTGGGGCTGGCCCCTTTGTCTCCACACCCCATCTCAGGCATCCACAGCTGTGGGTGCAGGATTGGGTCCTGGGCAGAAGACAGGTCCACTGATTCTCATGGTTCAGCTCCAAGAATTACCTTTACTGGGAGCAACAAGTGACCCAGTTCCTAAAGGAGAGCCCCCTCTTAGCTCAAGATGAAGAGACCTGAAGGTGGCTGCGGACTGCCAGCAAGAACTCCACCTCCCTCTGAGCGGGAAAGAGCACGCTGCATGATGCAGTGTCCTGCTTCTGACGTATTAAAGGGGCCTCTGGAGGGGAGGGTCTGATGACCAATGTTTAAAAAATTGTTTCTCTGCTTTTCAAGGTGTGGAAGAGTAATCAACACCTGCGGGCATGTTGATTATTCATCTGGAGAAAAATCTAGGCTTCCAAGGACAAAGTGGGGGGGGGGGGGGGGGCAGCACAAACAGACAGTGGTGGTGCCCTGTCCGGAGAGACTAAGGACTAAGGACAGTTGTTCAATAGGGATGCAAACCTTTGCATAAAAATCATCCCAGCTTTACTGCTTAAATGGAAACCTACCCTTTCGCTCTCATCAGACACCCCTCCAACATGACCCAGCTTAGTGGTCACATGGCTCAGACTCCTGACCCGCGGGAGGGAAGGAGCCAGGCCACGGCCCTGCCTCAGGAGAAGGTGTACCTGGCTTCCCGGGAAGCGGCTCCGGCCCGTTCCTCTTCCAGTACCGCCACTCGGGCTGGCCCAGGTCCACCCGCCTCCTCCGCGTCTTCTCAGGAGGGACAGGGTCGGAGGTGACACTGCTGTCCACCACCAGCCTCTGAGGGAGGCCCGTCTCCAGATCTTTCTTTAAATCCCCTTCGGAGAAGGAGGAGGCAGAGGAGGAGGAGGAGGAGGAGGAGGAGGAGGAGGAGGAGGAGGAGACAGCCATGGGAGCCAGCACGGCCACTTTCTCCTTTTTGGGAGCCTCTAGGGCCAGAGGCTGCACCTTGGGCTTTAGCTCCGCCTCAGGTTGTTCTCTGGCCGTGGCCCCCAATGTCCTGCTGAGAGGCCACCAGGTGGGTCCAGCCAAAGGGCAGCAGCCGGGGCAGCCCTGGCACAGCAGCTGGCAGCAGGCGCAGGGGTGGCAGGGAGGGCACAGGAACGGGGTGCCCAGGGGAAGCCCGTGGGTGACATATCCAGCGCCCGGCCCCGGCAGAGAGCAGCAAGGGGCCCAGAGGAGGGTGGCAGTGGCGGGGGGCCTGCTGGTGAAAGGCCCGTGCAGCCGCTCCACGGCCTTCTTCCAGACGACAGGGGGCACCCCCCACACCCCACCCCGGGGCACTGTAGCCGTCCTGCCATTCCAGAAGTGGACAGTGATTTCTTCTTTGGATGCTGCATGATAGAAAACGGCAACATTTTAGTACAACCACCACTTCCATGTCGTGGCAGAAGGGTCCTCCTACCCCCCAAGACAAAACTCCACTGTTCTACCTGCCTTCTCATGCACACTTCTCCCCGGGGAACCTCTTCTCTCATTCTCTGAATTACAGTGATGCTGAATTCAGCCCTGCAGAAGGGAACTGTCCCGGTCCCTGTCTCTGGACAGCGTGGTGGGGACAGGCCAGGAGTGATGGTGTGACCCAGGCTGACCCCGCCGCTCCCGCCCTAGGTTAGCTAACCAACAGAGACAGAGCTTTAGGCGCTTGTGCCCTGATGAAGAATAGCTTTTAACCTGAAAGGTGTGATTTATATATCTGTTATCATTCCCAGGATTAAACGGCAAGTGAGGAGTTAAGGGTTTTGAGTGTATGTGTGTGTGTGTGTGTGTGTGTGTGTTTTGTTAATCCTCACCCAAAGATTTTTTTTTTTTAATGTTTAAAAGAGAGTGGAAGGGTGGGAGAGGGACACACAGAGAGAAACATCTCTCTGAGAGAGGGAGACACATGGATGGTTGCCTCCCACATGCACCCCAGCCAGGGCTGGGGATGGAGCCTGCAACTGAGGTAAATGCCCTTGACTGGAATCGAACCTGAGACCCTTTAGTCTGTGGGCTCTAACCATTGAGTCCCCGGACAGGGCAAGGATTTTGGGTGTTTTTGTTGTTTGTTTTTATGCCTCTAAGACCCTTGAGCTACAGAGACACCCTTTGCTCTCTCCTCCTGCCTGATCACCAGGCTGGCTCCTTCCCTTACCTCTCTGGGGGCCTCTCGCCTCCAAGCCCGAAACAGTGGCAGGGCCATACCACTGTCCGTCGGGCTCCCAGGGCGCCAGCACCGTGTCCCCGGGCTGCAGGGAGGATCCCTCGGGCGGCGAGAACTGGACGACATCCTCTCCTAAGACCACGCTCTGCCGCGGGGCTGGCAGCTGTGGGCCTGTGACCAGGGGAGCCTCAAATTCCACAAGCAGAGCGCCCTGCCTCTCCAGCTGTGGGCAAGAAAGCGCTCAGAGGACGACCTGGCGTGAGGGGGTACCACCACCACGGCTGAGACCGGACCCAGGGGTTCCTCACCCACGGGGGCCGTCAGAGAAGGGGCAGGGACAGGTGCGCCTGCTGGGCGGAGACCACTTGCCTCCGGAGCAGGCTTTATCTGAGCCCGGTGATAAAAGCCATCGGGCCCCCGTCTTGCCAGCACCCATGTGCCAGCAGCGTCTCCAACTCTCCCCAGCCTGCCAGGCCCCTGCAGGGCTGGGTCAGCCGTGGGGAGACGTGGTTGATAGGATGCACATCTGGAAAAAAGCAAACGGAATTAGGGAATGGTGAAGGCCAATCCCTAAAAAACATCAGGAAACACGCGCCACAGGCAGGTCTGCGCAGCACCGTGGCATGTGTGTGACACACAAAGCTACGTGGAACAGAAATCCACACAAAAAGTGACTTTCAGGGAGATAAACTGTGAGCCTGGGCAGGAGAAGAGGACAGGGAAGGGAACTATTGTTTGAGGACTGGGAATTGCTTCAGGGTAATCCGAAGATCCTTAGCCTTGGTGTGGTCAGTGAATGCTGGTTCTGAGATTAGATTGCGCACCTGGAAAAGGGTAGGTACCAAGTGGGTTTGTGGGATTCCAGGGTGAGGTGGGGAGGCTTGGGCAGAAATGACAAAGAAGGGAATGTGTAAGATGGCTTGGCGCAGTGGGTCAGAGGGAGGAAGGGGCGACTGAGCAGGGGAAGCACAGAGGAGCCGAATAAGGGGCTGTGGGGACGGAAGAAAAGGAGAAGCTAGTTCTGGGAATGTTGTGGTCACAGCGGAGGTGGGGGAAGGCTGAGGAGATGATGGTTGAGTCAGGGTTTGGGTTTCTGAAGGAGCTGTTTACTTTTGTGGGTGAGCCTGGATGCTTACTGCTGGCTTTGCGTGAGATGGCCCACACAGGAGGAGCAAGAAAGGCACTATTAAGAGTGCAAGCTGGCATGTCCGGAACCTGGGCAGACTAGACTGAGTAGCATGGGCATGAGCCCCTGGGACTTACACAGCTGGAATGGGCTTGTGCCTTTCCCCTTCTTAGGCACCTGACTGAGGACACTATTCAGGAAAAGCCAGGATAATGGAGGAACCTGAGGAGGGGCCTGGAGACCTCAGCTTAGCTAGTGGTGGCAGAAGAAACTCTAATTTCTCATGTGGTGCCAGAGCAAGTTCACGGTGGGTGATAAAACGATCTACAGCCCAGCCGGCATGGCTCAGTGGTTGAGTGCTGACCTAGGAATGAGGAGGACATGGTTGATTCCTGGTGAGGGCACATGCCTGGGTTTGATCCCGTGTGGGGTGTGCAGAAAACAGCTCATCAATGTTTCTCTCTCTCTCTCTCTCTCTCATCCCTTCCTTTCTGAAATCAATTTAAAAATTACATATTTAGCCAAAACCGGTTTGGCTCAGTGGATAGAGCGTCGGCTTGTGGACTGAAGGGTCCCAGGTTTAATTCCGGTCAAGGGCATGTACCTTGGTTGCGGGCACATCCCCAGTGGGGGGTGTGCAAGAGGCAGCTGATCGATGTTTCTCTCTCATCGACGTTTCTAGCTCTCTATCTCTCCCTTTCTCTCTGTAAAAATTCAATAAAATATATTTTTTTAAAAATCAATAAAATATATTTAAAAGCAATTACATATTTAAAAAATACTTTAAAAAAATGATCTAAAAACTTTGTAACTGGAGATGCCTGACAGCCTTCTCTCCCACATGCCAGCTCTGATGCCTCCCACTCGGCCACAAGGTGGGACCAAAGCCAGGCCAGCCCTTGCGGTCGCTGGGAGCACCGTTTAGACTGGGGTCACGGAATACCTTCAGCAAATCATAGCCCCGGCAGTGAAGAGCCCCTTGGCCTTCCCAGGAAGTGAGGTCTCTCCCTCATGGTTCACTATCTAGAGCCTCAGGACAGAGGAAAAAGGAAGGCGCACACCACTTCCCCGAGAGGGACAGAGAGCGGTACCTGGTGAGAGGGCTGTGCCAGGCGAGCCAGGGAGCGTGGAGGGCAAAGGGGCAGCTGAAGGCCAGGTTCCAGGGAGGAGCAGCGCCGGCCCAGGCGGGGGCCTCCAGGGCGGTGGCCACGCTGCAGTACTTGGGCAGAGGCCCCCCAGGCGCTGCGGAGGGTTCCATGGCCTTCGGAGGCACCACCTGGAACAAGCACTTCGTTGTCTGAGTAGCAGCCCACAGCCCAGCAGAGGACTCGGTGAGTGGCCAGGAGCCAGCAGCCGCTCTGCGGACCCACTCGCTCCCACAGACGCGCAGGGTGTTCTCGGGAGCCTCAGTTCAGGAGAGAGTTAGAGCTGGGATTGTGGAGAAGACAGCTTTAAACCCTTCACAGCCTGTGTGCTCGCCTCAGCTGTGCACTTGTTACCGCTCAGGGGATGGTACATGGAAAGCACCTGGCATATACGTAGCTCAATGCGTATGTTAGTTTTCCTCCCCTCCTCCCAAAGTGTAGGGACCTCTGAGGGGAAGGCCACTCTTCGTTTCACAAATCCTAACCCCGATGACAAACGGACCCCCAGCGCAAGCCAGACTCCCCTCCCGACCCGGTCACCTGGAGGACCAGCTCAGCCCCAGGCCCGCTGAGATTCCAGGGTTGTGGCCGCCCTGCCTGCTCAGCGGCAGCAGCTGTGACTCGGGGCCCGGGAGTGCGCTGCCCTTGCCCAGCGGAGCCCGGGAGGGTCTGCCCTGCTCCAGCCCACAGGCCTGAACCCACAGGAAGACTTACCCACAGCCCGGCCTCCTCCACCTCAGCCTTGGCCCCTTTTGACAGTTGGACTCAGGCCTCAGCCCAACTGACTCTGGGTTGCCAAGCAGGTTGCCATGGGTGTGAGCCAGGGGAACACTGTGGGCTGAGTGTACTGGGCATGTGCAGAGGGGTGACAGAGGGCCTGGGAAGGCAGGTGTGGGGAGAAGGGGCGGGGGTGTTATGCTCCATCTTTCTCTTTGAAGAGGGGGTGAGGAGGATATTGTAGCTTCAGTTCCCAAAAGCTGAGACTTGCCCACTGCCCAGAAGAGCCAGCCATAGTGGGAAGCCCTCAGGGGTCCCAGGGGACCCTGTGAGGGTGGGGGCTGACCCTCAGACTCAGGACTCTTGATCTGGCTCCACCCTTGAGACAGCAGGAGGCTGGGTGGGGGAGCCACTGGCTGGACTAGGAACTCTCACATAGAACTTGTTCGTAGTTTAAAACAACATAACAAAGGTGTGGGCATGTCTGTCTGTAGCAGACAGGACTCTGTGAGAAGCAGAGGTGAGGTGACCACTCGGGGTGATGGGAGAGGACAGCGGGGACCAGGGGAACAGAATTCTAGCTTCCGCTCTCATGAACACCCACGGGAGAGGCTGGTATTTTGAGATACCTGACATATAAGAGGCTGAACCAGTTCCACAGGTGGAACGTGTCCATCAGCACACCCCAACCTCCTGGCTGCAGGGACTGGCTAGGCACAGACAGTTCCTGGGGTGCTCCAGACTTTTGCTGGGGACACCGTGGGTTCTAGACCCTTTTTCCTGCTAGAAGTAATAAGGAAGTGTGTGGTTCTGGGGCACCGAAACTTCCCAGAGGAAGACAAGGGAGAGACCTAAAGAATACAGGTGGCTGGTGACTGCCAAGCCCGGCCTAAGGGCAGCCTTAAGAGAAGCTTCAGTTACGTGAGCCTTTACTGAGGGTACCCGTCTGGATTGGACCTTTTTCCTTCCTGACCGCCAAAAGCATCTTACCCGATGACGGCTCTCACAGAGCGTAACGTAATAGTCGGAATGACTATAATCTAGGACTACATACCTAAAGGCTGAGGTCTTTGCTCACAAAGTTAAAAATCCAAGAAAAACCATAGAAGTCTCTGGTGGTGAGAGGATTCCTAAATAAGACAGGTAGGATTTCCACAGGGGACTATTCCAACTTAGGTAGGAAGCAAGAGCTCACAGAGAAGGATGCGTTTGCAAAACTCTCTTTTTGGGGTGGGAATGGGTTTCATGGGGAAAATCAAGGTGTGTGTGGATATTTGGGAAGGGGCCAGATTGGTGGGAGCCTTGAAAACCAAGCAGATAAACATAAAAAACAAAACAAAAAGCGTGGTATTCAACAGGCTGTCGTCCTGGGGTTTGAGCAATGCAATGCTTTAAGGAAGAACAACCGAGTGAGGATGGAGCCAGTGGGAGAACAGAGCGGGGGAGGCTGGGGAGGAGACTGTTAGCAGTTACCCCGACAGGTGACAGGGTAGGAACAGGAAAATAGTAACACCGAATATTTCCTGACAACGCCTGCCTGACTTGAGGCTTTTCGCTGGGTGCCAAGAGTACAGGAGGAGTAAGACTGGTCCCATCTTCAAGGAGCTTACAGTCTACTGAAGACGAAAGAGAGGTGTGTAATGGCATGTAAGGATAGCAGGAGAGAAACTGCACAGAAATGTGTAAACAAAACAAAGCAGCAAGTAGTGGCTGGGGTGGGAAGACGTCATAGAGAATCACAGTGGAGAAGAGTGACGGTGTACTGGAAGTTCTGACTGAGCCTGGTGGCAGATGGGACCTGGGAGCAGGAAGACCTGAGCCCAGTCATGGGAAGAGGAACAGATATTCTGAAGGCAAACTCCAAGATATGGGGCAGCGACTGTCCTTCCCCGAGGTGAAGGCAGCTGCAGGTTTTTTGGCTTAAAGAACCTGGAGAATGGAGATGCTATGGACAAAACAAGAGGAGGATTAGTAATAATGACACCAATAATAAAGGTTATAAATACTTACTACATGCCAGGCCCTGCTAACCTGTTAATCCTCACAGTAAACATATTGGGTAGTTGCTATTTTTATTTTTATTTTTTAAATTCTCATTCTGTGGATGAAGAGCTGAGACATGGAGAGCAAGTAGCAGAGTCAGTTTAAATGGAAGCAATTTGATTCCGGAGTGTGACCTCTAACCCTCTATACTAAGCTGCCTAAGGAAGTCTTCTCTATGCAGGAAAAAGGTGACTGAAATAATTTGAAATGACAATAGTTTTATTAACTACTTTTGCCACAGATCTGAGACACTTTCTTATCATGACGTGGGCAAGGCATAGATTTATTGTCAATTCCAAATCATAAAAAACACCAAACTTTGACAAATCAAGGGAGTTTGTTGTGTTTGCTTAGCATGAGGGTTAGCAAAGTGCACTACTAATATTCAGGAACCGTTCCTCACACAACGCTTTTAAGAGTTTCTCATGGCTGAGACTCTGGCGAAGGGTGTGAGAAGGGCAAGGTAAGGGGTATAGAGAATCCTGGGACTCCTGGTCCCCAAAGTGCTTACGAAGCATCTTTTCAATCTACAGATGATGTTTAGTACACGGGAAACCCAGGTAAGAAATATCCAGCACAGGTTAATCCGAGCTATTTCTTGCCCACCCAGAAATTACATTTAGGGAAAACTACTACTGCATGATGCTATGAAACCCCATTTTGTGATATTATTTGTTTCTATTTAGAACCACTGAGTCAAATGATTCTAAAAATGGGGTCCCTGTGGCGGCTGGCGGTTGCTATGACGGCGGAACCTTTCCCAGGGCTGTTCTCGGCCTTGGCCTGATCCGGGTGCAGGAGAGACTGCAGGTAATGAATGTACTTGATCGCAGCCCGGAGGGTTTCCACTTTGCTGAGTCGCTTCTCCAGGTACTCCTCCGGCAGGTGGTGTCGGAGCTGGGCATAGCCTTCATTGACACACTTCACACGCTGCCTTTCCCGTTCGTTCCGTTTCCGGATAAAGGAGGGCCCGTAGGAGTAGTCGCACCTCCTGTAATTTGAAAAAGGCACAGGGAAGGAGAAGGGGCAGGGCTCACTGTAATTTTCCAGGACCAGTGAATCACTGGAAAAGGGCAGCAATGGCAAGTCTTCAAAGTAAGGAGATGACACCGGGGCCTCAGGGTACAAATGGAGGGTGACCATGGGATCCAGATAGAAGGGCCTGCTCAGCGGCAAGTAGGCAGAATCAGAGAGGACAGGCGCGTTTTCTGGCAGATTAGAGTAACTTCTATTGTCCATCATTTCTTTGTTAACCTGGAAACATAACCAAGTTTATAAATTTGGGAAAATCCAAGAAGAGAAAATATCATCAATTTCCTCAGAGATCAATGTTTCACTTTGCTTTTGCTTTGATGTACTAGTATAGTTTTGAGCTCATTCTGAAAACTAGATGGGGTTACAATATTCTGTGGTAAGAAGGAAGATTTTTAAGTATAATATATTGATTTTAGAAAGGGAGAGTTAGAAACATCAATGATGAGAGAGAACATTGAATGGCTGCACGATCCACATTGGGGATTGAGCCCGACTGGAATTGAACCCAGGATCCTTCGTCCACAGGCCGATGCTCTATCCACCAAGACACACTAGCTAAAGCAAGAGGGAGGATTTTTGATGCTGCACAGAAACAGCATGAAATAATACTGATTCACCTGGTGAGAAAATTATGGCCTTTCAATTCTCTTCCAGTTCCAATGATCACATAGATAGAGTGTTAGTCCCAGAAGGCTTTCTGATCCTCTTCAGATGGAAGCCTTCAACAAGCCGTTCTAGCTAGACTCTAATAATATTTAACTCTTCATGTTATTTATTGTGAATTATACTGATTTCACATTTATAGCATGATACAAATTTTAAAAATAAAATCTACTTGAGTAAAAAAATGTGCATTGGTTTGAGGAAAAATAGTACATACCCATACAGGTGGGACACAGATAATGAAGACTTGTGAAGGTGTATGCAAATAACTGGCGTTTGGGAAACACTGACATACCCACAATATTTAAAATACACGTTGGAGAAATTACAAACTAGTTAATGATCATGCCACCTCACAGCATAGCCTTTCTAATTAATACCTGATGTGCTAGAGGCAAATCTGAAAATAAAAAAAGGAATCGTTTACTCTTAAAAATTCACTGTAATGCCCTGGTCAGGTGGCTCAGTTGGTTGGAGTATTGTTCTGTACACCAATAGGTTTCAGGTTTAATTCCGTGTCAGGGCACATACCTAGGTTGTGGGTTTGATCCCTCATTGGGGCAAGTATGGAAAGCCCCAATTGATGTTTCTCTCTCACATCTCTCTTTCAAATCAATAAAAACATATCCTCAGTCCTAATGCTTATGGGCAGGATTAGATAACATTGTCATTTTATTGCCCTACCCGAGGGGAGCAAAATCTCTGCAGGCTGCGCTATGTACTCGGTGGAGCAGACTCTAAGCACCAGAATTCAAGTGTGAAAAAATGTATTACAGTTTCTGTGAAAAAGCCTAGCCCTGTGGTCGGCAAATTGCGGCTCACGAGTCTATTTTAAAGAAGTGGTGTTGGAAGAAGTTTAAAAATTTTGGCTCTCAAAAGAAATCTCAATCCTTATACTGTTGATATTTGGCTCTGTTGACTAATGAGTTTGCCGAACACTGGCCTAGCCTATGTGGTATGGCTACTGAAGGACAAATGACTATGGAAACAGAAAGGGCAACAGGGGTGGGGGATGCGGTTTAAGGAGGATTATATTAAATCATGTTGACTCAGACTGGAAAAGGGGTAAATGCCAGGAAAAACTATTCCTAGGAGGGGGTAGGAGAGGGGGAATGATGTAAGAGCGATAGGTCCAATGAAAAATCAAAACAGAGAAACAGGAAATGAAAGATTCCTAATCACTGACCAAATGACCTGAAATAACATAAAACAAAAATCTCTGGGAGATGAAAAACTAGCCAACATTGTGTCAAAAAGAAAAAGTTGCTGAGAGAAAACAGAAAATTCCCAAGCCAGAGATAGAGAGTAAAGAACAAGTATGGCAGAAGCTACAAAATGATGGCACAGTGAGGATGCAGCCTGTATTTCTACATTTCTGAGGACAGCAGAGCCTTGTTCCTGCCTATGGCTGACAAGCCAGAAGTGACACAACAGGATACCAAACATAAGGCTGATGCCATCAAAGCTAATCACACACACACAAACTTTTCGAGAATGGTTTTATTTTGATAGATCATTTAATACTATGGTAAACATTAACTCAGATTAAATCTGAGTAATCTGCATATGCCACAGGTAATTAAAAATATCTAGGCTGCCAAGACCGGTTTGGCTCAGTGAATAGAGCGTTGGCCTGCAGACTGGAAGGTCCCAGGTTCAATTCCGGTCAAGGGCATGTATCTTGGTTGCGGGCACATCCCCAGTGTGGGTTGTGCAGGAGGCAGCTGATTGATGATTCTCTCTCATCGATGTTTCTAACTCTCTATCCCTCTCTCTTCCTCTCTGTAAAAAATCAATAAAATATATTTTAAAAAATGTCTAGGCTTTAAACAAGACTTTGCTTTATCCTGGGAAATAGAGCCTTGTGTCTGGAGACACACCCATGAGAAGCTTTTCTATTGAGCATCGCATTTAAATAGGGTCACCTTTTATTCAAAGAACAACAACACAACAGAGTGACAGAATGCAAAATGCAGTAATGAAGGTGATCAAGGAAATCTAGTGGAGACTGGACATGTTTGTAGAAACCGAGCAGTTTTTAAAAGAAAACAAGACAGACTATTAGTGGCAGGGTCTGGCAGTTCCAGATTCATGCACAGCTAACAAACTCACCTCTCCTGAAAAAGTCTCAGGTTTCTGTTCTAGAGCTCTTTTGGGGAATGAATGAGGTCTTAACGATAACAATCTAAATAGATTTTGGATGCTCTGCTGAGCATAAAAGCTTCAACTTGCAGAGACATTAAAAAATATCTAGCATGTGAAAAACAAAGCTACAACTACACCTATAACTGAGTTATGGAAAGTCAGGGATGAAGGAACCTTAGAAATCCTCTTACACAACCCCTCGTGGGATGTAACTTGGCTAAGGTTGCAGAGCTAGTTGCAGAGCAGGGGTCAGAACCTAGGACTCTTGACTTCCAAACCAAAACCCTCTCCACTACTTCAGATGAATTATTCACTTGCAAAATCTGAATCTTTTAACATCTAGGCATAACTGATAGTTTAAGATAATGGAATAACTAGGTAGCTGACAAAGTTCATCATTTACCAACAGCACCTAGGGATTTTCCGATAAATCATATTCTTATTCTCCCCCATGGGCCACTCTGGGGAAGAGTCTCTTACCTGAGTATTGTCACCACCGGGCTGTATTTTGGATTTGGTCAGATTTAACCTGATTTATAGGTGATCATTGAGTAATAATATGCAAAGTAGCTTACAGTTAAACAGAACCGCTCAGTTCTGGTTTAGCTGTGTGTGGATTTTTTTTCTTCTACCTAACATGTAGATATGACAACACATAACAATACCAAGTAGGAAGGTTTACTTAATGACACTGGGTTCCTGTAACAAAGTCTTTTGTAAAAAGAATGCTCTCCCATTCATCTGGGTTATATTATTTTATATCAGAATTATCTTTAAGTTAATAGCCTCATAATGTGCAATGTTGGTCAATATTCTTTAAATAGAGATTAAGGCCATAACCAGGAAGATCCATGTGAACCTAGTTTAGTAAAATGTCTATTAAATGTGTTGGCTTCTAAATAGATGGTATTTTTTAGAGCAATTTTGGATGCACACCAAAACTGAGTGGAAAGTAGAGTTCCTATATAGCTCCCGTCCCTACACACACACACATTCTTTTCCACTAGCAACATCTCACCCAAATATATGTTACAATTAATGAACCAATATTGACACATCGTTATCACTCAAAGCCCGTAGTATACAGAGTTCACTTTTGGTGTTGTACATTCCATGAGTTTTGACAAATGTATAATACAATGACAAGTACAGAAGTTTTACGGCTCTACAAAGCCTCTGTGCTCCACCTATTCGTCCCTCCCTTCCCCCAGTACCTAACAACCACTGATTTTTTTTTTTTTTTTTTACTGCCTCCATATATAGTTTTGTCTTTTCCAGAATGTCATATAGCATGTAGTCTTTTCAGATTGGCTTCTTTATTGAGTAATACGCATTTAAGGTTTCCCTATGTATTTTTAATTTGGCTTGATAATTCTTTTTGGCACTGAATATTCCACTGCCTGGATATAGTCTACTTTATCCATTCACCTACTGAAGAACATCTTGATTGCTTTTAAGTTATGACAATTTTAAATAAAGATGCTATAAAGGTGTGTCTATAAGATTTCAACTAATTTAGGTAAATACCAAGGATTGTGATTGTTGGTTTTTATAGTAAGGGTATGTTATACACTTTTGTAAGAAACTGTCAAACTGTTTTCCAAAGTGGCCATACCATTTTGCATTTTCATCAGCAATGTGAGTTCCTGTTGCTCCATACTCATATCAGCATTTGGTGCTATTAGTGTTCTGGATTTTGGTGATTCTAAAAGGTCATTTTAATATATCCTATTAGAGCCGAAACCAGTTTGGCTCAGTGATAGAGAGTCGGTCTGCGGACTGAGAGGTCCCAGGTTCAATTCCGGTCAAGGGCATGTACATTGGTTGCGGGCACATCCCCGGTAGGGGTGTGCAAGAGGCAGCTGGTCGATATTTCTCTCTCATTGATGTTTCTAGCTCTCTTCCCTCTCTCCTCCTCTCTGTAAAAAATCAATAAAATATATTTTTAAAAAAGTAATTATAATATATCCTATTAGAATATATGAGGTGGAGCATTGCTTCATATGCTTATTTGCCACCTATATATCTTCTTTGGTGAGGTGTCTGTTCAGGTCTTTGGCCTTTTGTTAATCAGGTTGTCTTATTGACTTTTAAGAGTTCTTTGTATATTTTAGATAAAAGTACTTTATAAGATATGTCTTTTGCAAATATTTTCTCCTAGTCTGTGGCTTGTCTTCTACTTCTCTTGACAATGTCTTTCAGAGAAGAAGTTTTAATTTTAATGAAGTCCACCTTATCAATTATTCCTTTCATAACTTGTGCTTTTGGTGTTGTATCTAAAATGTCATTGCCAAACCAACAGTAATCTAGATTTTCTCCTGTTATCTTCTAGTCATTTATAGTTTTGTGTTTTACATTTAGATCTGTAGTCCATTTTGAGTTAATATTTTGAAGGGTATAAGGTCTGTGTCTAGTTTTCTGTCCCCCTCCAATGTATTGCCTTTGTTTCTTTGTCAAAGGTCTGTTGACTATATTTGTATGGGTCTATTAGGCTCTCAATTGTGCCCTATTAATCCATTCTGTCAGTACTACACTGACACTGAATTGATTGCTATAACTTTATAAGTCTTCAAATCAGATATTGTCACTCCTCTGTACTTCTACATTAATATTGTGTTGGCTTTTCTGGTTCTTTGGCTTCTTGATATAAACTTTAGATTCAGTTTGTTGAAATACAGAAAATAACTTGCTGGGATTTTCAATGATATTGTATTGAATCTACAGATCAAGTTGAGAAAAACTGACATTTTGACAATACTGAGTCTTCCTATTCATGGATATTGAGTATCTCTCTTGTTTATTTAATCCTTCTTTGACTTCTTCCATTAGTTTTATAGTTTTCCTCATTTGTACATATTTTGTTAGATTTATACCTATTTCATTTTGGGGCTGGTATTGGTAAATGATACTGTTTTTAATTTAATTTGTTCATTGCTAGAATATAGAAAGGCAATTACCTTCTGTATATTAACTTTCTATTCTGCAAAATTCTTTTTAAGAGGTTTTTGTTTTGTGAGTTTTTATTTTCTACATAGATGATCAATTATCTGAAAAAGACAATTTTATTTCTTCCTTCCCAATCTTTATACCTCTTCTTGTCTTACTGCATTAGCTAGGATTTGCAGTATAATGCCGAAAAGCAGTGGTGAGGAACACCTTGCCATGTTCCTCATCTTAGCAGGAACACTTGTGCTTTTTACCATTAAGTATGTTAGCTTTGGGTTTTTGTAGATATTTTTTATGTAGTTGAGGATGTTCTCTTCTATTCTTAGTTTACTGAAGTGTTTTTTGTTTTGTTTTTCATAAATGGGTGTTGAAGTTTGCCAAATGCTTTTTCTGCAGCTATTGATAGGATCATTTCATTTTTCTCTAGCCTGTTGATGTGATTGGTTTTACTAACTGATCTTCGAATATTCAACCAGTCTTGAACCCCTGGCATAAATTTTATTTGGTTGTATTTGAAATTACATATTTTATATTAACAATAAAATCAATAATTTAGGTTATATTTGTAGGTCTGAAAAATTGATTTTATTAAATAAAAAATCCATCAATAGCTTCTAAAACCTTATACTTATAAATTTAATGTAATTTAATTATAATTTTTGCCAAGGTTTTCTTATAACATGCATTTTAAATCTCTCAATATATCAAAATGGTATTTGTATACTTTCAGAGGCCTATCTTAGTACCCATACACTCTCACATTCTCTCTCTCTCTCTGTACACACACACACACACACACACACACACACGCACACAATTTAGTACCAATGTTTCATGATTAGACTGGTCTAAAACAGTAATCTCACAGTGGGGTGCACATGCCTTTGCATCTCCAAGTTCATCACAGAGCAAAAGAGGGAGGAGAGAAAAGTTAAGAGACATAGATACACTGGTAGGTGTTTCAAAAATTATTTTTATTGTTCCATTCCAAAGAGGACATAGGAAAAAAAAAAAAGCTAGTTATCCAATGACTGTTATACCCTTCAGAGGGAAGTATGCAGAACTCCATTACTTGTTCAATGCTGCAAACACCAGAGCTTAAACAGCTGCCTCTCAACCTGATCAGAAATGCTGACAATATGTGTATGTCATCAATCCATGGTTTGGCTTAAAAGAAAAGTTCTTTACTGCAAGTATCCAAGTCCTTAGGATTCATCCTTAAAGATATTAGGGGATGAGAAAGACCACTCATGCCAAGACTATGTTTAGTCATTAGAGTGAACTAGAAAGTGGCCAGTTTGTTCTAGGATGCATTGCATCAGACATCAAATTACTTAAAAGAAAATCTGCATTTTGTAAAGAGGCACCAGGCATTTCAGATCTAGTTTACCATAAAGTGCAGCTACTGGCCAACCAAATAACTATAATACAGTCAGTGCAAAATTCAAATAGGATAAGTCAGGGCTTTGATGAGGCTGGCCACACTGCAATATAGAAATGAAACTTAAAAATATAAGATAAAGTCTATTTACAAAAGTTTTTTTTATAGTAAAGTGACTTGAGAAAAGTTATGTTAAGCAGTTCCCACACATCCCTTCCCTCCCTTGCCAAAAAATCCCACCTGAAAATTATCTTGAAAACCAAGTTAAAACTGTGTGGTGAAAAAGAGAATGCCTGTTCCAGGTAAAGGAATTGAAGGTAATTTATAGGCAGATGTACTTTGTCATAAATAGGGTAAGGTTTATTGGCGACTTGGTGTGTGCTTTAAAAAATGTCTCTTTTAATATGTTAACAAGGAAAAAATTTCAAGCACATTTTTGTTTCAGGTTTTGAATTTTCCAGCAAGAGTTGGTGAAATCAACAAGGCATTAAAACAAAACCCAAGAAAAATCAGTCTTTTCCTGTAGTCTGCATTGTTGCTTTCCAGTTACCTTGAATTTGATTCTCAATTAGCTGAGGACAACGTGACGGTCGAAGACGGACTTCCGCTGCTCTTGAACTTGAAGCTTCCAGCGCTGCTGGGCATACTCCACCTTGTTCAGCACATTGGCACGACTGCGGGAGCGGGCCAGCACATCATGGGCATTTGCAAACGGCTGGTGATCCTGAACACCCAGGAACGGAGAACATGAGAGATGGCATAATTGGTGTAAAACACACACACACAAAACAGCAGTTATCCAGCCTGAGACAGAAGCAGCTGGATTTTTCAAAGACCAGATCATCTATTTGCCCAAGCACTTCTAGGCACTCAACTGCTAGAAGTAGGCTGAACTCAACTGCAGAAATAGGTGGTTCAAGTGGCATAAGCAATGAGGAGGGGTATCTGTGACATGTTCCCATGAGTCACCATTTCCAAAGACATTTCCCTTAAGAAGCAGGGACCAAAGATAAAGATAGTGGTCATTTATGTTAAAGAGAAGCTTTCCTAATGAGTAGGGAAAGAAAATCTATTTTCATGTTAAAATCTGTATGCTAGACTCAGAAAGTAGGACTTTTCCTTGCTTCACTCAATACGGTATAGCTAAACAGTAGCAGAGAAAAGACCTGTCTTACCTGACTCCCATTATATTAGAACTAGAAATTCATGCTTAGGTGCGTGCGTGTGTGTGTGTGTGTGTGTGTGTGTGTGTGTGTGTGTGTGTGTGTATGTGTGTGTCCCTCAGCCCAGCCTGCACCCTCTTCAATCTGGGACCCTTCAAGGAATGTCTGACTGCCAGTTTAGGGTAGGATCGGGCCTAAACAGGCAGTCAGACATCCCTCTCACAATCTAGGACTGCTGGCTCCCAATCACTCACCTGCCTGCCTTCCTGATTGCCCCTAACTGCTTCTGCCTGCCAGCCTGATCACCCCCTATTTACTCCCCTGTCAGTCTGATTGATGCCTAACTGATCCCCTGCCAGCCTAAAACCCCTAACTGCCCTCCACTGCAGGCCTGGTTCCCCCCCTACTGCCCTCCCCAGCAGGCCTGGTTCCCCCCCCACCCCCACCCCAACTGCTTTCCCTGCAGGCCTGGATCCCCAACTGCCCGTCCCTACAGGCCCAGTCACACCCAAACTCCCCTCCTCTGCCAGGCTGGTCACTAACTGCCCTCCCCTGCAGGCTTGATTGTCCCCAACTGTCCTTCCTTGCAGGCCCTGTCCCTCCCAACTGCCCTCCCCTGCTCGCCTGATCGCCCACAACTGCCTTTCCTTGCAGGCCTGGTTCCTACTAACTGCCCCCCGCCTTGCTGATCATCTTATGGCGGCCATCTTGTGTCCACATGGGGGCAGCAATCTTGTGTGTTGGAGTGATGGTCAATTTGCATATTACTCTTTTATTAGATAGGATTGTTACTTGCCAGCTGGGGCCACATTCACCCTGGGAGATGAGTTGATAAGATTTTATCTTGGTTGATTTTCATCTCTCTCTACCCCCTCAACAGAAACACTAAATGAACTGGTTTACCTCTTCTCCAATCTGTGATGAAAAGAGACACCTTATATGCTAAAATTATCGATACCCTCTATTACCAAGAGTAGTAAGAATTACTACTTTAGAATTTCTATTAAAAAAATAGAAATCAAATTCAAGGTAACTTGAATCTTTCAATGCTGAGCACTATGGCTTCTGTGCTAGTTGCTGCCTTAGAAAGAGGCTATGGAAGGCTTATCCAAGTATCAGTGTAGAAAACCAACTTATCCAGGTCAGAGTAAACCAATGCCACTGATGTTTGTAGTCATTACAGGGGAAACCACTTTGCTAATCTATCTGTGAAGGAGATATAAACACAGCTGCCTAAATGGCAAAAAGCATTAAAAACTAACTTACTGCTTTTGTTTGCCTTTTCCTTGATCTCTTTTTCCCAAACCCCGGTTAACAAAGCTTCTAAATGTTCCAACATAGGATCCAAGTCACAAGTTGTATCTCTTAAACTAAACTTTGCTTCTAATTTTGCTAAAGGTTTTGATGTGCATGCTTTCAAAAGTTCTATTATATATCCAGGACAGACATCAGCATGTCTATAGAAAGCTATACACACTATATACCTAAATATAACCATAAGCATGTGGTGTTATAATACCTGGTCTTCTTTTTTTGTTAATCCTCACTCGAGGATATTTCTCCATTGGTTTTTTTTTTTTTTTTTAGAGATAATGGAAGGAAGGGAGATAGTAGAAACATGGATGTGAGAGAGACACATCGACTGGTTGCCTCCCACACCAACCCGAACCAAGGCCGAGGATCAGTCTGTAACCGAGGTACATATCCTTGACTGGGAATAGAACTGCGGACCCTTCAGTCCACAGGCTGACGCTCTATCCACTGAGCCAAACCAGTTAGGATTAGTCTTCTTTTTATATCAAAACATGTACTTGATCGCAACAAAAGTTTTCTATAAATAATCTTTCCCTGCCTTCTTTACCAAAATTCCCTCAACTTTTCACTTAATTTATGTAACAGCTTGTGCAAAGCCTATTAAATTTTTATTTTTAATCTTCAAATGAAAATAACAATTTCATAAAGTTAAAAATGTATTGAAGATATAAGAAAAAAAGTGAGGGAAGAGGAAGGCTGAAGTTGTTGGATTACTCAATTTCCCACCAAGAAATAAACCGATCCAAGGTCATCTAACAAGCACAAACACAAGACTTGACTAAGCTCACCTAACCTTGACTTGGTGTCATATTGTCTAAACATACTGATTTTGTTCAGGTAGATTAAAATGACACTATAAGGATATGGTGATGAACTTGTATATAAAATATTATTACCATCGGCTTGTTTTGACATAAACAAGATTAGAAAAAAGGATGTACTTTTTCAGCAGAGCACCTCTCCATTTCATAATCCTGCTATCTACTCTTCAAGATGAGGGAGTGGGGGTAGGATCTTTTAAAGGAACAAATTTAAAGGACTAAACAAAACAGTAATTCTTTTGGTCTGTTCTTCACCTATCAGAACAAGATTGAACTAGTTGCTCATGGTCATGGAGGCTTGGAGAGTGCAAATAGAGATTTACCCTTTTTATATGTTTGTTCTTTTCACACCTGATAAAATTACAATAAATACAAAACATGTTTTAATGTAATGCTTTGATAATAGCAATGATGTGTCATGGATATATAATACAGTAAATATTGTGACTGCTTACAGTGAACTTCTGAACTATTTGTACTAACTCTTGCTTGATTTAAAATGCTCTACAATGAACAAAAATAAAACAATTTAATTGAGAATTTAACAAAAGCACTTTTAAAAGCACGCAGTGAACTCTCATCTTGGGTAAGCAACAACTATAAAATTTAAATTTAACTTCTTTTTATTTTATATGATGACAGATTGTTACCATAAATTCACAGCTTTGCCAAAACCGGTTTGGCTCAGTGGTAGAGCGTCGGTCTGCGGATTGAAAGGTCCCGTGTTTGATTCCGGTCAAGGGCATGTACCCTGGTTGCGGGCACATCCCCGGTAGGGGGTGTGCAGGAGGCGGCTAGTCGATGTTTCTCTCTCATTGACATTTCTAGCTCTCTCTCTCCCTTCCTCTCTAAAAAATCAATAAAATATATTTTTTAAAAATTCACAGCGTTGGTCTGACAATGAGTTTAACAGATACTCTACAGCCAGCCAGGCCTCTCAGAAACTATGTTCTCTAATGGTCAACTTACACAGAGAACCTATCACTGGTGAAAAAAAGGTTATTAAGCACATGACCCCACCAATCAAATGCCTATTCTACATGTTTCTGTCTATACATTTGTGCATCCATTTCTTTTATGTTCTTTGATTCCTAAAATCTATTCCTAAAATCAGGAACTAGATATTTAATGCTATAAGTGATGTAGTTTAAGTCAGACTTCTTATTTATGTGCCTTATAATGAAATGGTTTATATGACCTTTGACACATAACATTTTCATATGTTAGTTCTCAACTGGGGATGATTATGCTCCCCAGAAACATTTGGCAATATCTGTGGACAATTTTTACTGTCATGACTGGGATGAAGATGCTATTAGCATCTAATGGGTCAGGGATGCTGCTAAATATCTTACAATGAACAATGCAGGCAGCCCTCTTCAACAAAGAATTATTTAACCCTACCTTTTGATGAGAATCATTGATTGGCTGCCTCCTGCACGGATGGAGCCCACAACCCGAGCATGTGCCCTGACCAGGAATCGAACCATGATTTCCTGTTTCCTGGGTCGATGCTCAATTACTAATCCATACTGGCCTGCCTACATGTCTATTTGTTTTATTCATCTCTTTATTGCTAGTATCTAGCATGGCACCTGATAATAAAAAGTTACTCATTTTGTATTGGATAAATTCATAAAAGAAACAAGAAAAAAGAAGTAAATAGAGATGTTTCTACGAAAGTTCTTAACAAAACTAAGATGAAATCTTGGGTAAATAAGTTGAATATTCATAACTGATATTCACGAGACAATAATACATTGATCAAAAAGGAGGTTCTGGCCCTAGCTGGTTTGGCTCAGTGGATAAAGCATCGGCCTGTGGACTGAAGAGTTCCAGGACCGATTCCAGCCAAGGGCACATGTTCGGGTTGAGGGCTCAATCCCCAGTAGGGAGTGTGCAGGAGGCAGCCGGTCAATGATTCTCTCTCATCATTGATGTTTCTATCTCTCTCTCTCTCTCTCCCTTCCTCTCTGACATATATATATATATATATATATATATATATATTTTATTATTATTATTTTTTAATAAAAAAGGCGGCTTTGTTTGTAGATGTAACTCAAGCTATCTAATCAGGATCCACTTTCCCATCTTTTTTCAACAGGTCCATAAGCCATTTAAGAGTAAAAGGGCTTCTGTCTGTGGTTAGCAAGGGCTCATACTGGTGTTAGCTTTTGGAATTAGTTCTTGAAGCTTTACTGAATTTTACCTACTTTAAGGAACATAGTCCAATAAAGTAATTCAAACTAAGAAGTAATTTCTAAAAAACTATATATATAATAATGAAATTTTGGAAATAAGCCCAAACAGGATAATAACAAAACAAACAATATATTTCTCTAAATTAAAATGAATAACAAGTTTATGGACTATGTCATTTTTTGGACATTTTTGAAAGATGTTGATGCAAAAAGCAGATCACAAAACATTTATACACTGAATATACCAACTGTATGGACGAATATAAATGTGTTTTAAAGATAGGAGGAGAACCTGGAGCAATAGTTTTATGTTTCTCTAGAGTTAAGGATCACAGATTTTTATTTTACTTTATTATTTTTTTAAGTATATTTTATTGACTTATTACAGAGAGGAAGGGAGAGGGATAGAGAGCTAGAAACACCGATGAGAGAGAAATATCGACCAGCTGCCTCCTGCACACCCCCCACTGGTAATATGCCCGCAACCAACTGCCCTTGACCGGAATCGAACCTGGGACCCTTCAGTCCGCAGGCTGACGCTCTATCCACTGAGCCAAACTGGTTCGGCAGTTCACAGATTTTTAAGAAGAATAACAAGATATACACTGAGTGGCCAGATTATTATGATTTCTGAACGCAAAATAATCTGGCCACTCAGTGTATATCCTATATAATAAAAGACTAATATGCAAATTGTCCCCTTGACCAGGAGTTCGACTAGCAGGCAGGCTGACCCCTTCCCCTGGCCAGGCTGACCGGACCACACCCATATATATATACATACACACACACACACACACACACATTGAGTGGCCAGATTATTATGCATTTAGAGATCATAATAATCTGGCCACTCAGTGTATAAAACATCAGCAGGTTATCAAGTTACATGTCATTAAGAAAAGAACAGTACGATCTTCACACTTTCCTTCACTAAAGCCTCTACTTCCTATGATATTTGGTGATGCTAACAGGGAAGGTGTTCAGGTGGGCAGAAAGCTAGCTCAGATGCTTTTCTCAAAGTAAACAGGGAAAGGTAATGAAAATTGCATCCTGGGTACTGAAGAGTAAAGCCTTGTGTAACACACTCACTAAAGATCATCAGTTTAAATCACCATATTTGTGGCTTTACAACACAATTTCCCCATAAAGAGACAAATACTAAAATCAGAACCGTCTTTAGCTTCTCTTGTTGACTATCTGCACCAGTACATGAACATTTATATTACTTCATGATGATGATCTGTCAGCTAGGGCATGCTGAGAACTTACCCCAACATCGTCATCGCTCTGTATTAATTGTGAGTGTCCAAATAGGCGTCTCTTCAGTATGGGCTCAACCAGAGTAAGGTACACCATGTATAGAAGTAGAAGGCCCAAAATGGACAGATAAATTATAATGGTAACCTAAAGGAAATTGAAAATAAGTTACATCTCTGTTCAAGCCAAGGAGTCACAATTCTGTATAACTATAGTAAAGCCGCAATGAAGACTGGTCTATCTGCTAAGTATACAGGATTTCTATATCAACTAGATTCCAACATAAGAAACGAATTCAACTCTTCACCAAAGTATTAAAAAAAAAAAAAGGGGGGGGGGGGAAGCATTTTGTCTTTGAGATCTTTTTCTAAGTCTTCAGAACTCCATTTTCACTTACTGCTAATCACTATCGCTAGCACAGTTTAATTTCTCACCTGAATACAGTGTCCTAGTGCTGTCAAGAAAACATCAAAGAAACCTAACAAAAAAATGCATTGCACAGGGATTTCAACAGAATACTCTTTTGGATCAAGTTAGATGTAAAAAATACGTTTTAGGCCATTGATTTTCTTGAGATCTTAATTCATGTGCTGACATCCCCAAGAATGGCTTTAATTAAAGACAGACAATACTAAATGTTGACAAGGATGTGGAGAAACTGAACCCTCCTATGTTGCTGAGAGGAATGTAAAATGGTACAACCAATTTGGAAAACAATCTGGCAGTCCCTTAAAAGTTAAACATAAACTTACCTCTCTTAAGAAATCTACCCAAAAGAAAGGAAAACATAGCCACCCACACAAAGACACGTAAGCAGATATTCATGACAGTATTATTCATAATAGTAAATATCTGGAAATAATCCAAATGTCTATCAACTGATGAATGGATAAATAAAATATGGTATATTCATATAACAGAATGCTATTCAGCAATAAAAAGGAATTAAGTACTGACATATGTTACAACATGAATAAACCTCAAAAGCATTATGCTAAGTGAAAGAACCAGTCACAGAAGAACATAATGTATGATTCCTTTATATGAACTGGCCAGACCTGTAGAGACCCAAGGCAGAACAGCCACTGCCTAGGACCGAAGGTAGGAATGGGATTAACTGTAAATGGACGTGAGAGATCTTTTTGAGGCTTTGGGAATGTTCTAAATCTAGATTTTTATAAATTGTTTAAAAGTTGCTAAGATTTATGGAATTGTACACTTATAATGAATTACTTTTAAGGTATATAAATTATACATCAAAATTTTTGTTTAAAATTAAAAAGTACAGTGAGAGTTTCTCTATAGGATAGCACCCTGCTGGAGCAGGGGCTCTCCGACAGGGTCAACCACACCAGAAATCTTTGTAACTGTTACAGCTGACCATTCCCAGATTTCCCATGTGCCCTCTTTTTGGGGAAGGAATGGCAGCTCCATATAGAAAAAAAATCTGGGAGAGAACCGTTAATCACCACGATAAAATAACTGAACTCATTAGAGGTCCAAATGGTGATCAGAGCAATCCACCTTCCATTTCTTATAGCAAATAAATAAAGGAAATTTTAAAATCCAGAAGTGATGTTTCTGGAATAGAACTATATGTATAATTTTTCCTAAGGGTTGAGAGGGCAGCAAGAAGAGGATCTCATCAGGCTATTCTATCTTCTGGCACATGTGACCCACGGAGAAGCTGGGACATTTTTCTGGAATATGCTAATTGCACAGGGCATTTTTGTGCTATTACACATACCATGCCTATTTACCTTATCTTAATTAATCCACAAAGCACCTCAATGAGGCAGGTAGAGAGCAGGCCTACTGTTTCTTTGGGGTTGGGGTTTGGAGATGAGGAAGTAGGTAAAGTCAGTGGTGAGTAGTATTGGAGTAACTAAAATAGAATTCATATGTCAAAATTTTTCCTTGTCTCAGAACTATCAAGAACTATTCCAGAAGCAGAAAAGATAGATTTTTGTTTTTCACCTTGATTGTTACCGAGCTTCTTTCCTCATATTTGCATTCACAGCGCAGACAGTATGCTTCTATGTCAGGCTCCCGCACAGACATGAGCTCCACAACATGAAGACAATCACTGAAAAACACAAAGATAAAATACTGCTCAAGTCTAGCTCGATTTTCTATCGCACTGATCAAAACTTTCCTGAAATCTGGTATAATCATTGAACTTATCCAATGAAAGAATATAAGGAACAAATAATCAGTAAGGGAAGTGAAATAATTTTCTATTTTGATATCAGCAATTTGGTAAGATCTAAAAGTCTAAGAAACCATAAAGACACATATACAGTAACTATTTTCAAAGGTGCTACTGCTAGAAGTTTATAATGCACCTGAAAAAATCCCAAATGGGATTAGAAACTATTTAGCCAAGTGAGTCATATTCAAACTTGTTTAGTTACCAAGCAAAACTGCTTTAAATGATTTAAAGTGACCTGGGGCATTGCTAAAATATGAGATTATCTCTTCTATGAATCAACTAACATCATTCTTAATTGCCACAGTTGGTGTATGAATGGCTAATCACACTTAGAAGTTGGTAAATTCTGAAACTGGAACATTCAAAGCTACAGTAAGAAATAATTACTTGTCTTAATGAGCAAAAGTCTACTAAAAAAGAATGAAGAAGGAGGATTAGGACAACAAACATTTTTTAATGAAAAGTGATTAATTGGAAGAAGTATATCAAAAATAAAAGGCTGAATGTTTTTGTTGTTGGACATTTTCTATTTTCCAAGCTATATATTTATAATTTATGAAAAAACAGTTCTATATAATAAAAAAGCATTTTCCCAGAAATCTGTCAATTCTAGGAAATAATTACTTTTCCCAGCTAACAAAAGTCTACTACTCTGATCACCTTCAGCAAAAGTAGGCACACTTTTCTGTCTTCCTGCCTTCTGCTGGGCAATTTTCTTCCCTTTGACATCTCTTCCTTGAGTATTTCTGGCTGCCAAAAGAACTCTACTATAATTTCCTGTCTTTTACCATCCTTCTTGGGGGCACCCAATGCTCTAGGCTGATTCTTTCCATTTGCCCTATTAAAATGTACGTTTTGTTTCATGCACAGGGCCTCTAGTAGTAGTAGTAGTAATAATAATAATAATAATAATAAAATAAAAAGAAGTCTTCAACGGTAGAATTTCAAATAAGGGTAAGGTCCCACAACTCACACATACAAGTGTGTGATATCTGTTCCAAACAGATAGAAGATTAAGAATGTAGCCAGCTGGATGCAGGCATAAAATGGACAGAGAAAGCTAAATCCGTTACAGGAGTATCTAGCTCAGAATCAGAATTCATCCAGCCCAATACTTTCAGAGAAGTCATCCATACAAGATTACAGAGTAAACTACCAGCTAAAAGGACCCAAATCAAGGTCTCCTGTCTCCTAGGTCAGCCCACCTGTAACTCTCTGAACTTCAGGAATATCAGACTTATCTCCCATTTAGTTTCCTATTTCAACTTCAGAAACCTGAATAACAATACCTAAGAATTATTTGAGAATCTAAGTGCTGAGTAATTGCGCGTTTCTTTTGAAGAATACAGTTTAATTAAATGATGAGATACTGGGTGGGAGAGGAAGCAAGAAGGTTGATTCTGAAGGGCCAGACATTGTAAACACAGAATCCAGATACAGAACTCAACCACTTTAGGAACTGGGCAACACCTCCCCCTAGTGCCAAAGGGAGGATATTTCTGGCTTTAAATCACCCCAAACACAAACCAGAGAACTCAGCTTTTCTTAAGTCACACAGCAGATGTCAATGAAGAATTAAAGTTAACAATTAAGCACAATGGAGGCCAAAAGGTAAATACAGGGTGTCCCAAAAAATGTATATACACTTTGGATAATTAATTCCAATAGGTTACATTTGAAAAGAAAGAAACAAAGAATTGGGCCTATCAGGGGTGAAGTATATATACATTTTTGAAGTATATATACATTCTAGGGCCAGATGGATATTAGAGGCCTCATAAGGCCATAACATAACTTGCTTTTTACCCTTCTGCCAGTTAAAAACTTTGTCAGGCCCTAACCGGTTTGGCTCAGTGGATAGAGCGTTGGCCTGTGGACTGAAAGGTCCCAGGTTCAATTCCAGTCAAGGACATGTACCTTGGTTGTGGGCACATCCCCAGTAGGTGTGCCGGAGGCAGCATATCGATGTTTCTCTCTCATAGATGTCTCTAACTCTCTATCCCTCTCCCTTCCTTTCTGTAAAAAATCAATAAAATATATTTAATACAAAAAAACTTTGTCAGTGACAACTAGGTAATATCAGACCTATTCTCAGTAAATGGCTAAGTTACAAGAAGGAAACAGGGAGGGAAGAAAAATCCCAAACATGCCTTATTTCCACTGTTTATTTTCACACCCCCCCTTCTGACCAATAAGCAGGGATGAATAACATATGGTTCTGTCTAAATCTAGAATGAGAAAAGTCAGTGAAAAGATTAGTGTTAACCACTTGAATAGTGAGTTCATTTGCCACTCAAATAATAGTCATCATATTTTATTACTAATACAATAAACTGTAAGTGCTCAATATATTTAGAAAATTTATAGGAAAAACTTAAAACTTATTTGAGCTTTTTTTATATTGTTTCAATAACTGCTGCTATAAAACCTATAAGAATCACTTTGCAATATGAGACAATTTAAGTGAAATGTGAACATTCATAAATTCTCAAGAACATACTTATCAAAAATCAAATTGAACCAAAGTGAGTACAGATAATAACATCAAAAAAATTAAACAAGCTCAAATGCTACCTTTTCTTTTTCCAAGTCAGCTTGGAATATTGTAACCGCGTGAATCTAATTTTGCTTTCAAACTGTTGCAGCTGTTTATCTATAAAATCAAGTACATGTGAAGTACACAGCATTTGGAGCTATTTTTCTTTGACAATTCCATGGGAATGACCTCATCCATCCTGTGACAGAAACAACTGTTTCCCAACCATTTTATGGCACATGCAGAAAAAGCTATCATTTGCAAGGTCCACTGAGAGAAACAGAGAAGGCTGCTGGTGGCTAGCCAGTCAGGATCTCAATCATCACATGCATGCCTGATTATCCCAAGAGCCGAATGGATCAATATCACACCTATAACCTATTCCTGGCACACCAACTGGGAAACGGGTATAGATGATTCATTCCCATTCCTTCCTGAGTCTCTGACACTTTTAAACACAATCTCCTACATTTGGCACTGTACCACCAGAACCTACAAGCTGTCGAAATTATAACCCAGATAAATGAGGCTTGCTTACCTTTCACTGAAGAGCAAGAGAGAGGGCCAAAATTTAAGGGGGCAAAGGAAGGAAGTTTTGGTGATACAAACTCTGCCCCATCTCCATAGAAAACCACCCTATCTGGGGTTTAGAGTTTATGCTATATTACTTTAGGCTTACATCATACACTCTGGGTCTTAATCTTTTTCAAATGGAAATGGAATTTGACACTTTTGCTTAGAAAGAAATACTTAAAAAGAAAACAATACACTGGATGAACATTCTGGGCGAACAGTGACAACCACAGAAAGAAATCTGACAAGTAATTAAGCAATCAAGAATACTTACCAATCTTTTTGCGATATGTTCCTATTATAAATATGTCCAGGAATATCTTTATAGGGAGGACAAATACATTTACACCGAACATCCTCCGAATTCTGTAACCAAAATGGAAACTTAGTATAGAGCTTGTTGACAGGTTAATATAATTTTTTTTAAAAAGTTTTTATTTATTTCAGAGAGAGGAAGGGAAAGAGAAACATCAATGATGAGAATCATTGATCAGCTGCCTCCTGCACGCCCCCTACTGGAGATTTAGCCCACAACAGGGGCATGTGCCCAGACATCCGTCCTCCTGGTTCTTGGGTCCACTTTCAGCCACTGAAACACACTGGCCGAGCTATCATCAGTATTTTTTTTTAAATGCACCATATACATTTTGTTACGCACCCCCTACCAAACATTCTAAAACCATTCACTTAAAACTTTAAATAACTTTGAGAGATACAAGTTCATTTTGGTAATGCGAATGAATCATTAAATATTACATAAAATCAGTTTAATAATACTTAGTGCTTGACCTATAACTGATTAATCACATTTATGGGTCAGATATCTCTCAAATTGTGCTAATGTTATCACCATCTACCTGTCAGTAGAAAGATATGATACATGGATAGCTGTGTCTATGTGGGTATCTCTCTTTCCCGAGTCCAGTGCGGCTGGAGAGCGATCCAGTTCCTGAGTAGGGGCTGCTGGGGACTGAGAAAACCAGGAGACAGACCCAGAGATAGAAGGAAAAAGCTGGGGCAGGACAGGGACTGGGACCCAGAGCCAATACAGCATGTTTATTTTATACAGCAAAAACCAGGAAGTTTACTAAAAGTCAAGATAAAGGAGATTAAGTACATTGTTGGGTGGGCTCGAATAGTATTCATTCCTGGCTGGATTTAAATAATAAAACCCACCCCCTAGCACCTGTGCTGAAGGTCAAGCTGATAACACTCCTGCCTCTGGCAAAGTATGTTTCCAGGACGTGAGAGTGCCAGAGTGCCGAAGCTTCGAAGCTTCTGGATTCAGCTGACAATAATTAAAGAAATGCCCCTGTGCCTTCCCAGGCGCTCTCTACATGTCTACAAATAAGAATGTTGATTATAAAAGGATTGGGAGGAATTAAACTAAAAATTACTAAAAACAAAACAAAACAAAAAACAACAACAACCCCAAAACACCAAGTCTCCATTCTTCTATCAACATTCTTCCATGCTTTGGTAGAAAGGCATTGAGTGATATGGACAGAAGGGGTTGGGCCAGAATCCTATAGAAGGGCTGAAGGTTTAGAGACACTCAGCTACAATGAGAAAGTACATAAGGGAAGCAGCTTGAGTATAGCTGAGATCAGTTTGGTCTACCCTTTGCAGGAAACTTTGCTTCTACTCCCTACAGAGAGGACAACTGTGGATAAAGGAAATTTCACGAGGTGGAGGTGGAGAAAGAAGTGACTAATATAGGAATTGAGAGGAAGTAGAAGATCCTTCCTCAGCAAAGGGGAGTCCACCTGAGAGGCAGTGGCTCCTTAGTCGCAGAGGACCAGGCCCCCTGCTCTTAGATATGGTATATCTGGCTGAGTTGTTGATAATTCATTCACTCATTCAGCAACCATTGAGTGAGCATTTGCTTGGAGCCAGACCTTTGCTCAATGAGGTGGTGTGGATAAGCATAAGGCCTGGTTCCTGCCTGTAATTAGGATGTGCCCTAGTAAAGGAAACTGACAAATACAAGATTGCAATACCCTACCTAAAGTGATGACAAAGAGATATGCAGAGGGTGCCAGCAATGTTTTGAAAGTCTGGAGACATGCTGCTGTTCCTGTTTCTGGTGGGAGGTATGGAAGAGTTCAACAGAATCCCTGAGCAACACCCCCCCACCCCCCATCTGTCTGCCTGTGATGTGTCTTCCCCAAACTTTATATTTAAAGATGTTATAAAACTCCTATTTTTTTTTTTTTTAAGAAATGCAAACGCCATTCAGTCTTCCCGTCTCATTAACATGAATTCCTTCTGTTTTCCCCAATCACAAGCTAACTCCTCAAGGAGGAAGCACGAGTGTGCATGGGGCCCGGGTCAGGTCTGGACAGGAGTGGGGCTAGAAAGCAGCATGAGGGATCAGAAGGGCCATGAAATGGGGCCGGGGAGAAGGCGCCACATCCTTATCTCTCCTGTAAGTTTGGGTCCTCCTTTTCCCCGCTACAGATCAGTTTCAGAGAAGGCAAGAAAGGGCTCGAGAGGGCCTGGAGGGGTTTGGATGAGCGCCAGGAGAGACAAGTTCCAACAAATGGCTTCGTTCCTGAAAGGGATAGACCTCAGAGGGAAGGAGACTTTCCATCCTTTTGGGCTGGGGACGGGGCGGATGGCGGTCTGGGAGGCTGGTGGGGGTGCAGGTAGGCCGGCAAAGTGTCAGGGTGGAAGGCTGACGTTCAAGGCTCCCAGAGTCGGGAAGGTTATAAAACCTGGGGTGAGTGCTTGGGGGCCCGGAAGGGCAATGCCGAGGAGGTGGAGGGGCTGCTGCCCAGGCTGTGGGCACTGCCCAGGCGGGGCATCTGGGCGGGAAAGGGGGCAGCGCCGTCAGGGCCGGAGGTGGGCGCGGGGCGGTGACGGTCGGGCAGGAGGGAGATGGGAGGGGGCGGCCTGGGCTGCGCGGCCAGGGGACGCCGGCGGGGCCGGGAGGGGAGCGGGGCCGGAGGGGAGCGGGGCCGGAGGGGAGCAGGTGGAGAGCCCCCGCGGGCGGGAGGGGAGGCAGGGGAGGAGCTCGCGGAGCGCGGCGGGGCGGGACCCACCTTGGCGGCGTCCGCCGTCCGCACCAGCAGCAGCGCCGACAGCGCCAGGCAGGCCAGGCCGAGCGGGGAGCCGGGGCGCAGGAGGCCTCCCCACCGAGGCGCCATCGCGGCCACAGCGAGCGGCCCCGCAGCCCGGGCCCCCAGACCGGCTCCGGCTCGGGCGCCTCCGCCCGCACTTCCGCCCGGGCCCCGCGTCACCCGCCGCCGGGCCGGCCCCGAAGCCTCCGCCCCGGAAACGGTTCCGGGCGCGCAGGGCCCGGGGCTGCGTCGCGCCCGCCCGGCCTGCGCTCGGATCCGGGGGCCCGGGAGAGCGGAGGGGCCCTTGGTGGGCAGCCTCGGCCGGCAAAGCTCCGAGGCGCTGGCATGTCTTTCCGGGGCGCAGACGCCGCGGGGCTGGGGCGCCTTCCCGCCAGGGAGACCCCCGCCAGCCGGCCGGGCGGGCCGAGCCCCCCCCCCCCCCCTTCCCGGGAAGCGCGGGGCCCCGTCTGAAGGTCGGGGGTCGCGCAGGGACGCGGGACTGACCGGCCGCCCATGCGCCTCCCGGATGCCATGTCCCCGCTTTCCTTCCGCCCCCCAGGTTTCCAACAGCCTGGGCCCTGCCTTCGCGGGTGCGGCCCCCGCTGGCTCCGAAAGGTGTGAAGTTGGCGAAAGACCCGAAACCGGTTTGGCTCAGTGGCTAGAGCGTCGGCCTGTGGACTGAGAGGTCCGGGGTTCGATTCTGGTCAAGGGCCTGTACCTGGGTTGCGGGCACATCCCCAGAAGGAGGTGTGCAAGAGGCAGCTGATCAATGATTCTCTCTCTATCCCTCTCCTTTCCTCTGTAAAAAAAAATCAATAAAATATATTTTAAAAGAAAAAGAAAGACCCGTCCTAGTGGCCTCCTGCGCCCAGGACTCCGAAGGTGGGGGGTGGCTGGCCGCTAAGTCTTAGGGAAGCGCTGACCCGCCTTTCCCCGGGGGCCATCCTCTGCAAGGAATTTAGGACCTTGGAGATGGCACAGTGTCCTCCATTAGTGGAGATAATAGTTTAAAAGGTACAGGGTTCATCACAAGCCCTACGGATTTGCTGAATGACCTTGGGCAAAACTTCCTGGGCTCCTTATTCTTGGCTCAATAGGAGGCTGAAGTCTTCATGGATTTCAAATTCTGCTCCCATGGAATACCCTTGTGTCTTTCATATACATTTTTAAAAGGTGGCCTCCTATTTGTGGAAATGTTTTTTTTTACCAGAGCATTTTTACGATTTTTTTCTCCTTGATTATATATTTTTTTCTCCTTTGATTCCCGATGCTAGAGTTTAACACAAGAACATGTCTGATATTGCACCAAATATATTTAGCCCCTTTAAGTCCCAAATGGCAAGTAATATCGGAGTTGTTCTATTTACAGGCAAGACAGGCCTTGGTGCCCACTTGTCCCCCCTTCCTTTTCTCTGCTTCCCTGGCACTAGGTTTCTCTACTTTATTCCTTCTGCCTAGTAAGGAGTGACACAGGCCCAGCTGGGCCCTCTCACTTTCTGAGGCCTGAAAAAGCCCCTGGATGGTCGAGAGTAAAAAGAGCCTTCTCTAAATTTAAGTGAGAAGGTCTGAAGGTTAGGAAGCAGAAGTGACAATTGATGTATCTGGGGCCAAGGTTTTGCCAGCTTTATCTGCAGTAGTCAGATAGCTCTCTAGACTGTTGAGAAATACGAAATTAACTTCATTGGACAGTTAACTTCTCTACCCCATCCTTTCTGACCTCCCCAGCACTTTCCCAGGCCACACCAGTACCTGAGAACAGAAGTCACAAACAGCATCAATGATGATAGTTACTTGGATTGGGCTCTAGTGGTTGTGGCGGGACATACGTGCGCCACAGTTCTTCCAGTTATTTCTGAGCATGAGTCCTCTCTTTTACCATGTGCATCACTTGGCCCTTTTAGTTAGATGTTCTGCCCTCTGCTGCTGGTGTGCCATGCTATCACTTGCTTGTGCCCACTATGACGACAATGTATGAGGTCAGGTTATTATCTCTCTGTTCCTGGAGATTTTGGTGTCCCTACTGCTGACAAGTTACTGCAGCGCCCCAAAAAACAAAGCAACACAAATTTAGTACCAAAGCAGAGATAATTTTTAAAGTTTCTTTCAGAGGAGTGCCAAATCAATATTATTGGTTTCCCAGTGTCTTAAAGAAATACTTAAGAAAACAGTATATCCTTTCTGACCACTAAGATTTTCAAATAAATATTGCATTACATTTTTATTCATTTTTTGTTTACTAGTATAGAACTTTTTTTTTTTTTTTAATCAAATAGTATTTCACAGCAGACCCTGAGCTAACCTTGTACACAATCAATTTCTACTATGCATATACTTACCTTTTAGCTCTCTCTTCTGGAATTTATCTTCATATTTCTTAGCAACATCCTTATACTATTATTTTTTTTTTCAGTTTGGTCTATTATTTTACTACTTCCTATAAACAAATTATCTATATTTATGCTCTAATACACTCTCATAAACATTTCTTCATCTTCTATCCCTCAATATATCTATCACCTTATTTATGTAAATCGCAATTCATTATATTATGACTGTGTACCAATTATTAATAATTTACAATATTTGCAGTAATATATTTCTTTTTTAAAAGTATTCCTATTTTCTATAGATCTGTATATATAAGTAATTTTATTATTGATTTCTGAGGGAGAGAAACATCAGTGATGAGAATCATTGATTGGTTGCCTCCTGTACGCCCCCTACTGGGAATGGAGCAAGAAACCCAGGCTTGTCTTTGACTGAAATTAAGGGACCCAGGACTCTGGTCCACAGGCTGATGCTCTATCCACTAAGCCAAACCAGCTAGGGCTACATTTACTTTTTGTAATTGAAGTTAGCCATTGCCTCCTTTTCCATGCTTTCTTAATTACCTAGTATTCAAGTATCTATAATTTATCCCAAACTTGTCTCAATACATTAAAAAACATCAAGTAACTTATCAGTTTAATTTTTAATTTGGAAACGACCCTCCAGGAATTCTACTCCTCCTTCATTCTGGAAAAGCTGCTCTCTAAGCCTACTGCATGGTTTTTGTCCTAGAATGTGTCCTACTTTTTTTTTCTGAAATATTTCCATATCCAACTCTTATTTTGAATTTTTATATTTCTGTTATATTTTAAAGTTACTAGAGCACTTTCATGTCCATCCTTCCCCAGGCCCAATAGCATTCTGTTCCATCTGTGTGCTATATCTTATTTCTCTGAGGGTATTTCTAGTGCTTTGTTTCTTGACTTGTCTGTTTGAGTTTTTCAACTTTTGTTTCTGTCTTTTCTATCCTTCAAAGTTGAGTAAAAACTCACTTAAGACATTTCTTAAATGTCGGAGGTCCCTGGCTATCCATGCATATGTGAGAGTGAGGCATTGACCGAAATCAAACCCGGGACCTTTCAGTCCACAAGCCATCGCTCTATCCACTGAGCCAAACCGGTTTCAGCACATTAGCACTCTTGATGGCACTTTATGTTTTAAAATTGTACTAACCTTTGATTTCTCTGGCAACAAAAACATTCTCTCCTTAGTTTGTTGCCTGAGAGCAGCTTTTTGTCATGCTGAGGTATCAGCTTGAAAGGGTTGTCAGTTCGAAAACTGAGACATTTTTTTTCTGTGAACAACTTGGATGAGAACCCACTTTGAGATGGGAGGCTTCCGAGAAACGAGGTTTGACTGTATTTCCTTTTCTAGAAGTAAGTGTTCTCATGCTGCTGAGCCACCATATTGTGAGGGAATTAAAGCTGAGGGAACACCATATGCCAACCACTTTACAGGGATTATCTCATTTGATTCTGTAAAGTTAGTATTATTATCACTTGTTTTATAGATTACAGAACCAAGCTCAGAGAGGTCCACTGATTTGCCCAAGGGCATACGGGCAGTAAGAGGGAGAGCTCAAGGGCCAGTAGCAATAGAGGAAATGAGAGCCACAAGGCCTAGTGTTCAGAAGACCAAGAGACAGACACCCATGCAACTGGGCTGTTCCCAGGCTCCCCCACCTTCCGGGGCCCCAACAGACAGACATCAGATGAGCAAACAGAAGGGAATATTTCACTTTATTGTTAATTATGTCAATTTCACAAATAAACCCAACACAGCCAGAAACACTGAGCAGATAAAGTGCTAATGCAGAGGCCTGGAAACAGAAGGAGGGAGGAATCCAGTCCATCTCCTCCATGTCCCCAACCTGGAAAGATATTTCTATCACACAGAGTGAGGATTGCCGACATACCAAGCAATCCATCCTATAGACACTTTGAGCTAAGGGATAGGAAATCTTACCAGGTGGGGTCTGTGCAGGGCAAGGAAATAGAAAAGTCAGAAAACATTTATTCCACAAATAAGTCAGGCATAGAAATGCCAAATGACAAAAAGAATATTTTCTAAACTTTCTGTATTTGAGATGGACACCTAATAAGGAAGGCGAGGGGTACCAGTTCTACAGGGTTACTTCTTGCTACTGCCTGTCTTCAGAACTGTGACCTAGGTAGACTCTCTTCCAACACCATCAGAGGCACCGGAGAGAATATTCTAGAATTCTGGGAAGAACTGACCTTACCTGCTTACCTTACCAGCCCCACTAAAATAGACTCAGTGCTCCTTAAGGAATATCAAGGAGATGTGGGCTACCAGAGTAATCAACTTAGCAGCATTTAAAGAATATTAATGGAGCTCAAGATTCCTCATAATTGTCATCAGAAATTTTAAGGTACCTCTATCAAGCCCCAGGTTTAAAGCGCAATTATTCAAATAAATTCAAATTGTTTCACTGCATTGAGACTATGATACCCTAAGCTTAAACGGCCCCAACTGTTTCTATTTCAAAATTAGAAAACCACTGACTGATTCTCAGAGGCCACTAAAGGTCATCTGATCATCCCTCCGATGCCTCAGAATCCTGAACTCAAAGGGCCAGAATCAGTCGCATCTTTCCCTGAGAATTCCTGGTCTACTCGTCCAAAGGGAAGCCACATAAGGGTAAAGGAGGCCCAGGAACTTCCAACATGCTTCACTTGTGGCCAAGTGTCAAGGCTCGGAGTGGAACTTTCAACTAGGGAAGGAGGGGTGAAGCATTTTCAACTCAGTCCTAGGATCAGAAGCAGGCCAAAGTGCTGCTGTGATAGGTAGGGGAGGAGAGTAGAGAGACTTCAATGGGGTGGAGTTGGAGGGGGCATTGAAGATTGGTCACCCGAGATCACCCCTGCTGAGCTTCAAATGTGACCTCCTCTACTGTGGCTATGCTTAGTTTTCCATCTCACTTCCTCTACAGGGGCTGATAAGAAGGGGGCCTAAGGATGACCCCATGATAACTGGCTGTTCAAGTGGAGGTCACCAACTTTTAGTCTTTAGGGAGTTTCCGTAAAGCTGAAAACATTCAGAGTTCCAAAGAGCTGTTTGGTAGGGACAGCAGCTGAACACTAAATGAGATTGTTGGTGGGACCTGGCACAGTTCAAAGTGGGATCCATTAAATACTCTGGGAACTAATGCTATGAATCAAGGGTAGAACTGGGATTCTCCTAAAGAGATACTCACAGCTGGCTATTTTTCTGACTTCTCCAGGTATTTCTCTGACCACATTGAAGAGGAAATTCCACTATAGGTATCTGTGTGTCCAAGATGACACCTCCCCCCCCCCCCCCAACAAAGAGTTCTGAAAAGTCCCTGGGATTTTCAGCTCTTTGAGAGAGGTCAGGAAATATTGGGCAGTCAGAAAACAGTTGTCCTTAATACTGCCAGCCTGCCCCCCCCACCTCTACCCCTCTGCCTCTTTCCCAATACCAGGACAGAGCTGAAGAGTTCCCAATCCTCAATACCGGCCTAAAGTTTCATCCTGACCATCCCAGAAAGATTTCCCTATGCGGGCCTTCCCACCAACTGATTCTACCTAGTACTCTCTTCTATTCTAGACCTGCTCTGGGTCTGCTTTACCTACTCCTGTTCTCAGCTACTTGAGTCCATGGCAGACAAAGATCCAGAGTCTACACAGAGACAGTGACTGGATCTTGGGAATATTAATGTCTAACAATGATGCCCAGATTATTTACTGAAGCCTTCAATTCCATCCCAGAGAGCAATTAATGTCCTTTTGTTTGTGGTTCCTTCCCTTCCTCCCCTCCAAAAAGTTCCACATCTCATTGATCTTTGTATCCTCAGCTTTTAAGCGCTAAGATAAGGGCCTAAAAGTGTCAGTTTGGGTCAGGGGACTTTTAGTGGGCTTAGCTCACAGGAAGGAGATCTACCCAGATCCTCCTTGCATCCAGCCCCAAAGCATACTCTTCCCCTACCCTACCTTTTTACAAGCCCTCATTTCTTCATCTGCCTCTCAAGGCTGGGATACAAATGAAGTAGTAAGGGAGAATGAACATAGCCTTGGCTTATCAGGTCTCAGTTCTGGGTCCCTTCTGCCGCTGACTTCGTATATGAGCTTAGGCAATTCACTTGCCTCTCTGGAACTTTATATGATGTTTCTGGGCTCTTTTAGATTTCAGATCTATCCATACTTGAGAAATCAATGAATGAATGAGAGGAAATATTAATTCTGAGATATAGGCATCCTGCACCTCTCTGAGACAGCTGAAAGGAGGTAAAGGCCAGGTTCCTGTTATTATACATTTTACCTATCTGAAAAGAAGCAAGTGTACTTATGGAGAAATAGAACCTGGCAGCTCCTCTACTTGACACATAAAAGCAAGTTCCTGGAAGAAGCATAAAAATAGGCCACAAGTGAGACCTGGCAGTGTCAAAAAGGTCTAGAAATTAAGTGATCAAAGGAGTAAAAAACAATGGCTATAATCAGACAAGATCTCTAAAGCACAGACTAAAGTCTAGAGAGGTTTGAGTGGGAAGGAGCCCTGGAGCTTCTATTAGAGAAAAGGACTTGGTCCACAGCAAGTTGCTACTGCATTTGGTTCAAACCCATTTTCCTCCATCTGTCAACCTGGTGTGTGCGCATACGCCGCAGGCTGGAGTTATGCTTCTGAAGTGCTGAAATGAAAAAGAAACAGAAGAAATGATACCAAATTCAAGGAAGTTAGGAAGGCAAGTACAAGTTTAGTTTAAAAGCTACTCATTTTCCCGAACCCTCTGTGCAGTATCATCACTGTTCATTCTGAAATGTGAGCTAGAGTGTTTTGTAAGATGGTGAAATCTGGGAGTGGGGAGAGATGTATCTATGATATGACTGAAGGTCAAAGACAGGACACAACCCAGTATCCTATATGGGAAATCCTCTGGTTAATGGCAAATGAATTTGACTTGATCTGACCCATTTGGACACTCACTTGTCTTCATTCAAAGAAACTGTCTCCACAAAAGGGATTTCTTCTTTGTCTGTTTTCCCCATAATCAGCTGGTGCTTATCCAAGTTTATGATGCACTGAAAACAAAGGAGATTCACTGTCAATTATCTCACCTTGGAGGTATCCATGTAAGATGACTCTTGCCTGGCCGGCATTGCTCAGTGGTTGAGCATCAACCTATGAACCAGGAAGTCACAGTCTGATTCCCAGTCGGGGCACAATGCCTGTGTTGTAGACTTGATCCCCAGTGGAGGGCATGCAGGAGGCAGCTGATTCATGATTCTTTCTCATCATTGATGTTTCTAACTCTCTCTCCCTTTCCCTTCCTCTCTGGGGGGGAAAAAAAAAAAAAAAAAAAATGACCCTTGCCTCAGAAAGAAAGTGTCAAAGGGAAAGTAGAATCATCCTACCTTCAAAGATCGCAGAGTCTGGAGACCAAGGGATAAGTTCTTCTCATTGTCCTCTAATAAAAAATAATTAAAAATTCAACCATTTCTATACTGGTTTAGAAGTCAGCCTTCTCACCATTAGGTTCTATCCATCCAACCAACCAACCATCCATCTATCCATTTATCCAATTATCATCTGTTGCATCCATTTAATAAATATCTGTTGTTCATCTACTTAATTTTCCCAGATTATTATAGCTAAAAGGTGAAAGAACTAATAATCAAACTCAGGTCTTTTTAACCAAGATTCAAACTCAAGTACTTTTAAAATAAAAACCAGGAACTTAGAAGTAGTCTAGAATAGAGTACATGACGGAAAGTATGAGATGGTGGGATGTTATCAAGGGATTTATGAAAAAGGAGTAAGAGGATCTTGCTCTCTACCTCAAACCATTCCTGGAAATCTCTGAAGGACCCTTTTCTCAGGCACACAAAATGTTTGCTGTCTTGCCTCCCCCTTTTTAAGAGTAATTCTCACCTTGCCTTGAAAATAGCCCAGGGTCCAACTGGTACTATGGAAGGCAAAAATTGGGACAAGGTCTATAGTACAGAAAAGTGAAAACCTGGGATTTTGAAGAAGTCAGGCATGAGATCTCATGTGGGCTTAGAAGTAGGGAGAAGATTTACATTAGGGTCCATAGGTCAGGTCCCCGATTCTACTCACCAACCACCGCTGCAGGGCAGTCCAGGCAAAGGGAGCCCAGTGTGATCACTAGGTGCTCAATCTGCCCCACTACTTTCAGATGCCGGGGTAGAGAAAGCTTCTCTCCTTCATGCTTGTGAGATTTGACATGCTCCTTGAGTCTGCACCAGAGGAGAAGATAGCAGAGGTTTCTGACGGAAATCTGGCAATGTCTACCTTCCCACCCATGGTCGGAATTTTCCAAGGATTTCCTGGGATTAATTTACCAAGAAAGTGCTAGCCAGCCTATGCTTTTTTGTTTCAGCACTTTGTCCTAAACATGCCAGGGAATATAAAGAAAACTAAAGATTCATTTCCTGTTCTCAAAGAGATACCCCACTGTGTGCACTGATAAAAGTTACAAGTTGACTCACTCAGAGAATCTATTCTGCATCCTAACATTCCCACCTGTGTGCAAGTTCAGTTAACACGTCCTTCTACCTATCTATGGATAATAGATCCCAGAGAGGGCAGGCCAGGTCTACGTTTAGAAGACATTCTATTCAATGTCTAATTTTCTCTATGTCTTTTTCATTTCAGTCTACCCTCATCAGTTAGTCTTATGCTATAAGTTTAGTGTCAGAAGGTGCATTGATATTGACATCAGCAAGAAATATCATGGAGAAAGTCCCAATTAATTTAACTTGTCTATTCAGAGGAAGAAGGAAAAAAAAAAAAAAAACAGCGCCAAGGTTTCAGTTATGTAATGTGATTGGAACAGCTAGCACCCGAGCTATTATGGGTTGGTGGATAAATACTTAATTATGGGCTTTCTGTGCCAGTGCTTTTGCTTTACTCCACTTCCTATCTTTTGGTGTTATCACCCATCCAAAAGAAAAATAAGTGCAGTTTTACAGATGGTTATTAATTTGTCTGGAATCATAGCAGTCTGCTACCTACTAGTAATTATGCGCAAGGGCATGACAAGTCTTTCTGGAACCATCATGGTGCACTGTGCCTCATCTCTTCACCACATTAAAAAGCTCAGGATTCTTCACACAAGAACACTTGTGTCCTGGACTCCCCCCATCACCCAGTATGTACAAAACCCATAGAGGCTGCTTCAGAGTCACAATGATGGTGAGGGTTGAGGACAGGGTAGAAACAAGATGAAAAGGTCATGTGGCAGAGGTAACTGATTATACAAATCAAGTCTTCTGCAAGCCCTACTTAAGAATATGGACATCGTGGAAGTAGTTTAAAATGGGCCATTATATCTAACTTAGTGATTATTTCAATTTAGAGATTTGGGCTAAGGGATGACTTATTGTACTCAGTGATATAGGAGTGGAAAAGAATGTTGGATTGATTCTCCCAATTCTGGTCCCATCTGGTAATTTGGAGGAAAGAGAAGGAAGGAGAAATCAAAGGACAGATGGAGTGAAAAGGAAGAAGAACATATCTGTCAGAGAATTGAAGACATTCAATTCTGAGCGGTGTCCGCCCCTCACACCCAATACCCAGCATGCTCAGCAGTAAGATCGCATGTTTTTCAAAGAGAGAAAGGCACTAAAAGACCATTGGTTAATGACCCCCATGATGGTTCAGGCCTGGCAGCTATAGCAATCCTATTCTAAGTTCAGTTTCATGCTTTTGGGAAAGAGGCAGTGTCACCTTCAGAAGCACCCTGAGTTAAGCTAAAGCCAACCACATTGCCTGCTTTTACTCATCGGGGCTACATCAACGGGACAGCTCCTCTTAATCTGTTATCTGGGCAGGTCAAAAATCAGGAACAGGACATGGCACACAATAAACCAAGAATCTCACATTCTCTCCAGAGCTCTTATGTCTTTTCTCAAAACTTAATAGGTGGGAGTTAATGGAAAGTCTAAGGCTTGCCCAACTCACAGAATTCTCCCAGGTATCTGAGATCCCTCACTCTGTCCCATTACAAAGGACTGGTTCCAGTTGATATCTGAGTTCTGCACACTTCTCTCGGAGCCTCTGTGGAGACCCTCATCATCTCTAACATCAAAACAGACTCAGGCAGAGTGACTGGCATCTGAATTCCACCCAGTACAAGTAGCTACTTACCCCAGTCTATACACACAGGCTGAAGAGATGAGATTATATTGGCAACCTGTGTCAATCAGGGCTTTCACATCCTTTCCAGCACACTGTGGAGAGGAACATGCTGTTCAATAGGAGCAAGGGAAGGGAGACCCAGAGAGCAAGGCGCAGATGTCATGTGAAAGGCAGGTTTGGAGAGCATCTTCACAATTATGGGTTTGTAGTGTCCCATCTTTACCCACTGCTAAGTCTCCTTTGAGAGGCCCTTTTTCTGCCTCAATCTAGAGATGACAGAAGATCCCAAAGGACTTTGGGTTTTTCATTCTATATATCAAGTAGTGTGTGTGTGTGTGTGTGTGTGTGTGTGTGTGTGTGTGTGTGAGAGAGAGAGAGAGAGAGAGAGAGAGAGAGAGAGAGAGAGATAGCCCTTTGCAAATCTGATGAATGTTTGGTCCTTTTTCCAAAATACTGCACACACTTTCTGCCTTGCATGGAGTGCCCTCCTTGGAACTCATTTATGAATCTCATGATATGACCCATACTCTACAATTTTGAGGCGAGAGACCCACTTCTGATTATAATGAGCCCAAATCCTACCCCCCAGAAAACCCTGGAAAAGCTGTTCTCAGAACATTACCTGGCAAGAAACCAAAATCATCCCATCATCCTCAGACTTCTTCAGTCCCTCAGACTTAGCCTGATTGAGTTTGTTGGTCTTGGAGGTCCACGGGACACGACCGCTCCGGAGCTTAGACAGGTTGGTCTCCATGAGGCGCCTCTGCAGAATGTTATGCGGTTGCTTGAGGAATAGAAAGCAGAGGCTTCTAAGTGACAGGCCATTTCCCCTTCTCCCACCGTCCCCCAGGTGCTGCTGAAACAATGCAGGAGCTTCACCTAACTGAGCTCTACATCTAGTCTTCCTTCAAGTAGGGACTCCATTGGTCTGCCAGAGCAGGTACTATCAACCAATTTGCAAGTAGGTCACTCTGAACGAAAAAACCAGGTGAGACACTGAAAGACGGGGATGGGGCCAAAGAACATTCTGTGGCTAAAGAGAACTGAAAGACCCTTGTGATTTGGACTTCTGGGCCTACTGCCTTCCCGCCCTTTACAAGGGCATTTCAAGAGAAGAATGGCAGAGAGAGAGAGAGAGAGAGAGAGAGAGAGAGAGAGAGAGAGAGAGAGAGAGAGAGAGAGAGAGAGAGAGAGAGAGAGAGAGAGAGAGAGAGAGAGAGAGAGAGAGAGAGAGAGAGAGAGAGAGAGAGAAATAAGAAGAGTGGCTTTAGTCTATGTGGGATAGGTGTATCTTCCAGGGGACTGACAGAAGGGGCAGCTTATTTCCACAAGCCGAAAAACCTAGCTAGCACTGGTTGTCAGAAGCTCTGCCTATTTCTATTTCAAGTCTCACTCCCTTACAGTCTGATCTTTTGGACCAAATGTATACACACACACACACACACACACACACACACACACACACACACTAGAGGCCCGGTGCACAACATTCATGCATGGGGGAGGGAGGGTTGTATGTGTCCCTCAGCCCAGCCTGCACCCTCTCCAATCTGGGACCCCTCAAGGGATGTCAGTCTGCCCACTGGGATTGTGGCATGCCTCTCTCAATCCAAGATTGCTGCCTCCCAATCGCTCACCTACCTGCCTGCCTGATTGCCCCTAACTGCTTCTGCCTGCCAGCCTGATTGATGCCTAACTGCTCCCCTGCCGGCCAAATTGCCCCTGACTGCCCTCCCCTGCCAGCCTGGTTGTCCCTAACTATCCTCCTCCGCTGGCCAGGTCACTCCTAACTGCCCTCCCTTGTAGGTGTGGTCCCCCCAACTGCCCTCCTCTCTAGGCCTGGTCCCTCCCAACTGCCCTTCCTTGCTGGCCTGGTCACCCCTAATTGCCCTCCCCTGCTGGCCTGATTGCCCACAACTGTCCTCCCCTGCTGGCCATTTTGTGGTGGTCATCTTGTTTCCACTTGGGAGCAGCCATCTTGTGTGTTGGAGTGATGGTCAATTTGCATTTTACCTCTTTATTATATAGGAGATATATATATATGCCTTAGTGGCCTGAGGGCAGAGTGAGTCACCCATGGGTGGATGGCGTGGGAAGACAGGAATTCAGACCTGCTGAGCAAACCTCTCAGAAGACACACTTTGGAACGTGGCAGAACCCACAGGAATCATCCTTACTGACATCCTCTAAATCTCCCAGGAGTAAAAGACAGCTCTGCCATATGTTTGTCATCCATGCCCATCTCTTCAATGGGCCAAAAAGTGGGAGTATATACGGGACAGAGACTGATCAAGAAGCGGGGGACTTAACTCGACCTTATATCCTTGTCAGGATACCTAATGTTAGAAAGCAGAATGAGGATTGTGATTTCAAATCTGCTCTTTGATTGAGCTTAAGAGAGATCCCAGGGCAGATATATCCATTCTCTACTGCTTCTACCCACAGTGGCCCCTAGAAAGTATAAACTACCTTTTGATAAGTTGTTTGACCTGAGAAATTTCTACACAAAGCATCTTATTCCCAGTTTACATTAACATTCAAAATCCCTCAAAGTATAGATCTAACCATAAGCTTCTATGTAACACACACAAGATAGCCCTCCAGTTCTAGGGGGAAAGAGAGTCATTCTTAGAAGCCCAGAGCCTAGAACTTTCCCAGGAAAGGGGGAAGAACAGGAGGTCTTCATTTTCCTCCACCTTACAGACAGATTTCTGAGGAAGAACGGAGTCAGAGCCATGACTCACTGTAACCCTGCTGAGGTGAAGAAACATATTCCCGAAATACACTGATTCTTGGCAAAGCAGATTCTAAATTAGTATTCTTGAGAAAAGGAGAGAAAGAGATACTTTAAAGAAAATGAGCTTCTTAACTTGATAAGGAGCCAGAGGAAGTGCTAACTCTGTCAGATTTCCTGATGTGCCATTGGGAGAATGCTTTGCTCCTCAATAGAAACAGAAATTCTTTATTCTTATTTCTCTCATTAATAAGCTTGGATTCCTAACTTAAATCATACTACATCAGGGTGCTTGTTTCCGTCAAGTCCAACCCAGAAAGCCTGGGGCTTTTCTTCTACATCGTTTTGCTGATAACTTTACCTGGTTACTCTTTTTTATTGTTGTTAATCTTCACCCGAGGACTTGTTTTCCATTGAATTTTAGAGAGAGTGGAAGGAAGGTAGGCATGAAAAGAGAGAGGAAGAGGGAGAAGGAGAAGGAATGATGTCAGAGAGACACATCGGTTGGTTGCCTCCCGCTCGTGCCCTGATGCTCCAACCACTGAACAACACTGCCAGGGCTATTTGGTTACTCTTAATCTTGCAGAAGAGTCTAATCACCACTGGATAGATAAGGTAAATGAGGAAAGTTCTAAAATTATTTTCTTTGAAGTCATCTCTCTTGAATTTTCCTCCTGTGAACTGAAAGGTTCCAGGTTTGATTCCGGTCAAGGGCACATGCCTATGAGGGATGACCGGGTTGTGGTGCTCAATCTGCAGTGGGGGACTTGCAGGAGGCAGCTGATCCATTGATTCTCTCTCATCATGGATGTTTCTACCTCTCTCTCCCTCTTCCTTCCTCTCTGAAATCAATAAAAAAATATATATTTTTTTTAAAAAAGGACACCAAGATTTCACATCACTATGAGTTTCTAGAATATCATAGATGACCAAGATTCTAAAAGCTTCCAAAGAGAAAAGGATGATACCAATACAAAGAATTAGGGGCCATCCATTGGCGTAGGACTGCTCAATGGTAATAATGGAAACTAAGACAATGAAAAACCTGGCAGTACATAATTTCTAAACCTAGTCAAACTATCAATCAAGATTCAGCAGGTAGCTTCCATACATTCTCAAGAAGCTACTGAAGGATATGCTCCACCAAAGTGAGGGAAACCAATGAACAAGGGGGAAAAAAGCATAGGATCCAAGAAATAAAAGATCCAATAGAGAAGACAGGCAAAGGAAATTCTAAGAATGGTGTTGAAGGAAAAGTCGAGGATGCAGGTTGTATAACAAGTCTTGAGAGCAACCAGTCCAAAATGAAATGGGAAGATAGAGGGCTTTAGGAAGAATGTCTCCAAGAAAAGAAAAAAAAAAAAATGGACCTGCTAGATCATCTTCAGTTTTAAGGCATTTGAAGTAGATTTAAATTTTACACAGAAAATTAAGTAAATTGGCCTAACTGGTTTGGCTCAGTGGAGAGCCTGGTTTGGACTGCGAACTGAAAGGTCCTGGGTTCGACTTTGGTCAAGGACACATGCCTAGGTTGTGGGCTCAATCTCCAGTAGGGGGTGGGAAGGAGGCATTGATGTTTCTATCTCTCTCTCCCTCTCCCTTCCTCTCTCTCTAAAAATCAATAAAAATATATTTTTTAAAAAGAGTTGTTTTTAAAAAAGATAATTAAGTAAATAACTAAGGAATTAATAATCCTGAAAAAACAACTAATATGTATATGAGAAAAGAAACAATTATAATACACTAGAAGCCGGTGCACAAATTCGTGCATGGCTAGGGTCCGCCCAGCCTGCCTCAATGGGGCTGATCGGGGGAGGGGCCAAGGTGGTTAGCTGGCTGGCCCCACCCCCTGGTCAAACACCCAGTCAAACTCCTGGTTCAGGGGACAATGTGCATATTAGCCTTTTATTATATAGAATTATTTGATTCAACTGTGAATAATCCTATATAATAAAACCCTAATATGCAAATCAACTGAACAGTGGAACGATTGATCACTATGGTGCGCATTGACCACCAGGGGGCAGATGCTCAATGTAGAGGCTCCCCCCTGGTGGTCAGTGCGCTCCCACAGGGGAAGTGCTGCTCAGCCAGAAGCCAGGTTCATGACTGGCAAATGCAGTGGTGGCGGTGGGAGCCTCTTCTGCCTCCACGGCAGGCAGGCCGTAAGGAGCAAAGGGTCCTGAACAGCAAGAGAGATGTCCACCGGAGAGTGGGCCTAAGCCAGCAGGCGGATATTCCCTGAAGGCTCCCGGACTGGGAGAGTGTGCAGGCCAGGCTGAGGGACCCACCCTCCAACCCCCCCACCCCAGGGTGGGGGCAGAGTGTCCCTCAGCTCAGCCTGCACCTTCTCCAATCTGGGGCCCCTTGAGGGATGACTGACTGCTCATTTAGGCCCAATATCAACGTCCGGTTGCCCACTGGGATTGGGCCTAAATGGGCAGTCAGACATCCCTCTCATAATCCAGGACTGCTGGCTCCCAATTGTCACCTGCCTGCCTGCCTGCCTGCTAGCCCCTAACTAATTCTGCCTGCCAGCCTCATCACCCCTTACCACTCCCCTGCCAGCCTGATCAATGTCTAACTGCTCTCCTGCCAGCCCAATTGCCCCCAACTGCCCTCCCCTGCAGGCCTAGTCACCCCCAACTGCCCTCCCCTGCTGGCCTGTTTGCCCCCAACTGCCCTCCCCTGCTGGCCATCTTGTGTCCACATGGGGGTGGCCATCTTGTGTATTGGAGTGATGGTCGATTTGCATATTACCTCTTTATTACATAGGATAATAGGAGAGGGGCATGATGGGGGAGGTGTAAGAGAATCAAACCTTTATCATTATAATAGAAAATCAATAGATGATAAAAATCAATAAATCAAAAAGATGTTCATTTGCTTGTTTACTATTTCATTCCCCCAACTAGAGTGTTAATTCCACAAAAGCAGGGATCTTGATTGACTTGATCACAGCTATATTTCAACTCTTTTTTTAAAAAAATTTTTTTTCATTGAGTTTTTTCAGAGAGGAAGGGAGAGGGATAAAGAGTTAGAAACTTCGA